ATTTCAAAAAAAAAAAAAATTAAATTCTAATCTCAATCAGAATTTATTTAATAAAAAGGAAAAAAAAATATTCTTCATCAGAAAGATATTATATTATTTTTTATTAGTAGTACTAGAATAATGTAGGTGGTGAAAGATTAATTAGTAGTTGTTTTATCTAAACTAGAACTTATTTATGAAGACAAATATAAATAATTAAGTAATTAACAACATGCAAAAGGGACAAAAGGAGGAAGATTCGAAACTTGAGAAATGGAAATTTCGTGAGAGGCTTACCCTTTAAGAAAAGATGATCGATCACAGTTACTGCCAACAAAGTGAAATGTCAGCAACTGATTATTAAGTGTAAAAATTGGTGGAATCCATTAATATTTCTTTCTTACAAAAATTATATTAGGAGGAAGACACTGATTATATATGTGTGTCGGGTTACGTGGCTTCCTCTTTTTGTTTGTTTGTTTGTATTTGGATTTTAAAGCTTTTTTTCTTCATGATAAAATGAAAATGAATGAATGGATATAATATTTAATTTTCAGATAATGGATATATTCAGTATTGCTGTTTAAGTAGTTTACTTAACTTTTTTTTATTTTTTATTATAAAATGCTATTTTATTCTCTAAAAACTAGTTGAAACGCTAAGTTATCGAACAAAATAAAACACATAGCATCATAATACTAAAAGCTACTAAAAAAACTGATGCCAAACAGAACCAATGTATCTAATAAAATTTTAGGACTTGAGATCTCTTTCATTTTTTTTTTTCATATATATATATAATTAAGAAGTATAATTCTGTGGATCGTAGAACAAAAATGTGTTTTTTGACTCTCCTAGTAAATATGTTTCTGGAAAAAATCGAACTTCTATTTTTATATTTACGGTGATTAAAACTATTTATTTTCTCGACCAATATATTATTAATAGATAAAAATATTCAAGAATAAATATGCAATGGTGAAGGTATGTGGATTTGGAGGATGATAAAAAGAAAGAAGGTACAATAATTGAATTGAATATATATATAAATGCGAAAATAAAGGGTTGGGATTTAGGCCCCCCATCTCCTATAGAATAGATGTGATGAAACATAATTCTCTGTTTTCTGTTCTGCTGTTTAATATTTGTTAGATGTGATAAAACAAATTCTCTGAGTTTGTGTACGTGGGAATGTTACGGCTCCATATTACATTTTCCAAATTTCAGATTCCTTGTCGGTAGTCACCACATGATTTTTTTTTTTTTTTTTAATTTCTCTGTTTTTCGTTCTTCCTGTTTAATATTTGTTAGATGTGATAAAACAAATTCTCTGAGTTGTTGTCGTGGGAATGTTACGGCTCCCTCATATTTACATTTTCCAAATTTCAGATTCTTGTCGGTAGTCACCACATTGATTTTTTTTTTTTTTTAACAATATATATATATATTATTTAGAAAAAAAATACTGTTTTAATTTGTTCAATAAAACTACTTGGTTAAAAGTTATGTTTAGCATTGCCATGATTATAAACAAATTATTTTTAAAATATTGAAGAAAGCAAAAAACAAAAAAAAAGATGTTCATTCATCATGAGCCTTCGAGCCTTCCTTTCAAACCAGGCGCCAACATGTAACTCCCTTTAATAAAATTATAAAATATAAAAAAATTATAAAAATAATAATTATGTCACAGTTTATCAATATTTTCTATATAAATAATATATAATATATATATTATGATGAGTGGAGTAGTAGTAGGGTATAGTATATAATATATGATATAATTAAATATATCTAATTTTGAGTGGGTCTATATTTATTTATATTTATATCGTTGCGTATTAAATTTTGAGACTCAGTTATAGTTGGTGTGTAGTTGTTATTACGATTAGGTTTAAGGTATAAAAGAAAAAGACAATTATTGTTCAAATTTTTAATTTTAAATTATTTTCTAGAAGTTTATTGGTTTGCTAAGAAGAAAAGCAATGATGTAAAAGAAAAAAAAAAAAAAAAGAGTATTTCATAAAGAATATATACATTTTTTTCATAGAGAAATTGAAATATTTAAAGGATAGCCAGAGAGTAAATTAAAAAAAAAAAAAAAAAAAAGAGTATTTCATAAATATATACATTTATTTCATATGAGAAATTGAATATTTAAAGGATAGCCAGAATAAATTTCATAATGAAATTAAATTATTTATTTTTAGTGTCTAATCAAGTATTACTTTTCCAATTTTTCTGTCTGAAGTTAGATAGATAATCAAATAGAACTTTAGTCTTTTTTGTGTGTATCTTTTTCTTGCTTTTTAGTTAGTTCGTGGATAGGGGTTAGACATGAAGGTCCCATTACAAGCCATTCAAGCCTTTTATTGAGGATTCCAGTAGCTTTATCAAATTAGAAATAGAAAATTTGTGAAAATAAAAAAATTAACATTGGAAAATATGAAAAATTAAATTAAATTAATGGAAAAGATGTACATATTTAAATTACTGATCTTTGTTATAATACAAGAAAATCAAGTATTGCCTATATTTATCCGTAAATACTGACGGATGATCAACTACAAATGATAAAACTAATATGTGAAAAATTTTTTTGTGAAAAGCATATTGATGAATTTGTTTCGTTATCCTGTCGTTAATTAGATAATTCATTAATTATTAGTTGAAATTAAAGATTGTGATGAATGAATTTTGAATAGATAATCATTAATTGCAATATGAGATTAATTAGTGCTTAATTACTGTGATTTGCTTTAAATGTTGGGTCAAAAATGATTGTGGAAATGAGTTTGCAGATTGCAAATAACTTTTTAAGAGGAAAGTGGCTATGCCCAACACAAAAACAATTGTCGGAGTTAGTTCATTAACATGAACTTTAGACCTAAAAATGTTTTTTTAAGTTGCCTTGTCACATCCTAATGTTTGTACCTCTTTATCGAAAGATTAACGTAAATCTAACAAATTAAAACAGAAAAAATGTAACTAATACTAAACCATTCTTCATTTTTTGAAATGTTTAATGGGCCTTGAAAATTCAAAATAAGCATATTCTAACAAAAAGTGGATGAATTTGGGTTTGGACAAATGAGGCCCATAAGTTTTTATTACTTACGGTTACAGAACCTTGTACAATGGCCCAATATTTGATCTATACAAAAGAAGGCCCATAATGTGACTATTTGACAAAACTCTCAAGAGATTATACAAGGGAGGTATTTACATGCTCATAGTATACGAGTCCATCCATACATCAAATTAATTTAATAAATCACGGTATATGTATTTTTTCACTGGAGAAAAAAAAAATAGTAACAAAAAATGAAAATTCTTTCAAATGATAGTTAATTATTGATTTGATTTAACATTTTAACTTATGACCAAATTTTGATTTAAAAATAATATGAAATAAAATTGATCAAATTTTAAATTTATTCAAAGTTGATTTTTTTTTACTGTAAATGATAGACTGTGTATTTTCATAATTTCATTTGCATTAGTAAATATTTTAAAAGCAACATTTTTAAATTTTTAAAAATTGAAGAAATAGTTCTTTTAATAAGAATTTAAATAAATTTATGAAAAGAATTCTAACATATAATTCAAATTAATATTTTTAAGATTATAGTAAATTATAATTTCATGTAGTTTTATGAGACTATATTTTCTCTGTAATGGTTCGTCGACATTAAATTGTATATTGTTTTTAATATTAAACCATTTATTTCGAAGTACAAATTACAAATATACAAAATGTAATAAAAACAAAATATATGTCATAACTCTACCTTTACTCATTAAAATACTTTAAAGAATATTGAACTTTAAAATTTCAATAATATATTTAAAATTTTAAACACTAGTAATTATTTTTATTGTAATTTTTAGTATAAAAGTTTTGAAAAGTTGTTTTTTTCCTATTGAAAGTTATTATTTATACTAAATATCTTTATTATTTTGTGGTTATTTATACTATTTTCATTAAAAAGTTTTTTGACCATATAAGATATATTTACTCGTATGAAATGATATATTTGCCTCTGTAATAAAAATTTTGGCTTCGTCACTGTACTTAATTATTGACTCGATTTATATATTCCCTCCGTTCCAAAAAGATAGTCCACTTCCTATTTTCACACAAATTAAGAAATAAAAATTATTATAGTTAAAGAATAATTTTATTCACATAACATTTCTTATTATATCTATCTTAAATAACACTTGAGCAATTATTATATTGAAATAATAAGTAAAAATTAATAAGAGTTATTAAAAATAAGATAAAATTTAAAAAGGGCATAGTAGACAATTTAATGATTAACTAAAAAGAAACAAAGAACTATAACATACAAAAAAAAAAAGGTAAAATACACAAATTCATCCATATACTTGACGTAAAAGAATCTTGTGGCACTCTAAACTTTTCAAAAAATTTATGTTTCATAAAATTATGATTTTTGATAATTTTATAGTAACAATTATAAACTTTTAATATCTTTGACTTTTATATGTGAAATACTAATTTGATACGTGGTTACAATTTTTGGAATAAAAATTTTTGCATTTTTTAACTATTCAATAAATATTTAATCATATAATTTTACAAATTAAAACATTCAGTTTAAAATTTCTACAAATCAAAATGTTTGATAGATACAGTTGTTTAAATTGAAATTTTTATAAGTGAAAATACAAAATGAAGGGTGGCATTTGGGTTAAAGAAGAGAGGAAATTTTGTTTGGTTCACGACGTGTACTCCAAAGCTGCCGGGGAGGACACAGTCCTAAATTAGCGAGGAAAGAAAACAATTAAATTAAAAATTAAAAGAAGATGACAAAGTCAAGCAATATGCCAACTCAAAATCTCCACAAAACAAGCATTATTCGTAAACCACGCCATAATAATTAAACAATTTTGAAATTCAACGATCTTTTGGTTTTGGCCGGTCAAGAATTTTCCATTTCACATATAGCAAATTAAGAATTAAAAACCAAAAATAGACTAATAAATACCTCTAATTTATCAGAATGAGTTAGGTCAATCCATTAGGACATGAAGCTCTGGCTGAGGGCCGCCGGGGCCCTCAAAGACCGGACAAGCTTATTGGTAGCCAACCTTTCTCCTAAGGGTTCTTACCGGAACCCTGATCTTGAAACGGCGATTATTAAAGCCACTAGTCATAATGACAGCTACGTGGATTACAAGAATACACAAAGAGTATTTGCATGGGTACGTGCATCCCCGGTAAGCATGAAGCCTCTTATATATGCCCTCACTACTCGCATGGAAAAAACTCAGAGTTGGGTCGTCGCTCTTAAAGGCTTAATGTTAATGCATGGCGTTTTCTGTTGCAAAACTCAAGCTGTTTTAAGGATTGGGAAGTTACCGTTTGATCTTTCAAATTTCACCGATGGGCACTCGAAACCTAGGAAAATGTGGGGTTTCAATACGTTTATTCGATGTTATTATTCCTTTTTAGATCAAAGGTCTATGCTTTTGTATCATCAACGTAAGCAAACAGAAGATTCGATTCTTCAAGAGCTTATAAAGTTGAAAAATTTGCAGTGCTTGCTCGATCTTCTGCTTCAGATAAAACCCTTGAATAAGAACATGAGACAAACTTTAATTCTTGATGCTATGGATTGTGTTATTATTGAAATATTTGATATTTATAGCAAAATTTGCAATGGTATCGCAAAAATTTTGTTAAGCATATATTCTGTTGGAAAGACGGAAGCTTCTATGGCGCTTAGGGTTCTTCAAAAAGCCGTGAGACAAGGTGAGGATCTTGCTTTGTATTTTGATTTTTGCAGGGATTTTGGCGTTTTTAATGCAATGGAAGTTCCTCAAGTGACAAATATATCAGAAGAAGATATTAGAGAACTTGAACGCATAATTAATGGATTTTCTGATGATACAAAAGAAGATGTTGTCATTTCTACCATTGTTGAAGAAGACAATAAACCTAATAATTTGAAGACGATAATAACAGAAAAATGGGAGGTTTTCGAAGATGATTTGAAGATCTTTAATGAACGGAATGAGAATATTGCAGAAACCCCATTTCAGAAAAATTGTGTTCCCCTTGATCTTGTGCCTGTTCATAAAAGACATGATATATTTCCAGATTTAATTAGTTTCTAGCTGTTTGATATCTGTGGAATTTGTGCAGTTACTCCCTTTTGCAATGAGATGTGTAATCAACGAATGATATTTTTGTTGTAATTAATTTGCTTCATTTTTTAACTTTTCTGTTCTAGATAAAGTTTGATTTCGATTATTATTGTATCATCATCTTCCTCTTCATTGCAGTTACTTAAATTGGTGGCCATGAAATCACTTGCTTTTATTTGATAATTAAAATACTGCTTAATTAAAAGGTGAAAATTAAATTGAAAGCTGCTGAGAAAAACAAAAAGGATCCTTTTCTGTATTTAGGGCTCGTAATAATCAAGGACTAGATGCATAAAGGAAAAGGGTTTTTCAGTTATACAAGAAAAGTGTCACAAGTAGGATTGGCAGATGATTGTGTATTTTCAGAAACTCAATCCAGTTATTAGGAGTTTGGTACCGAATAAAAAGAATGAGACGCGTTCGGAAAATATTTTTATTCTTTGATTTGAGTCAAATTCAGATTTAGAGATTTCAATATCCATTATATTAAAAGGATAGTATTTTGAAAAGCTAATGCATAAAGGAAACAGGTTTTTCATTTAATTACACCAGAAAAATATCAACAATTCACAAACTTATGATCATATTCTTATATTTCTGGAAAACTCGATAATGTCTAGATTTGATATGGGATGTTATATATGGAATCACAAATCATTTACAGGTAGATTGTTGGACAAGAACAGTCTATTAGAGATTCAAGTTGGGCTGAATCTGATACTTACAATACATAAACTTGGCACTTCAATCTGACCCATAAGGAGGTCCAATTTTCTTTTCCTTTTTCTAAGTACTTTAGGACCAGCTTATAGGTAACAGATCAATTTACCCTTATCGAGAGTTGGTCTGATCTTTGGATGATTTTAAAGGCACACTTTCTCACTTATTGAAAGTTGGAAGTTCAATTATATTTTAATCCAAAATTTCGGAAGTAACCTAAAACAATTACTTGTAGATGAGTTTAGAGTTCTTATTGAGTAGAATTTATTTTTCTCCTCAAATCTACTAATTAAGCATCAATATTAACGTGTCTTTGATTAAATTAAATACAATTTACCAAACTTGGCTTATAATAATACCCAATTACAGTTGATTTTTTTGTTTTCAACTAAAGATATACAAACCATTAATGTCTTGTCTTAGTACTAAATTCATTTCTACAAATTCTTTCCTAACATGAAAATTAATGTTGAATTATTGGTTACTCTTTCTTACACGTTCCAACTAATTACCTAATCCATTCATTATCAAAAACATTATTTCCAGTCAGCTTTTTCGAATACCACCTATAGCAAATAAAAGAATAAAAAGGTCGTCTTATTCAAAAAACCCCAATTATGAAATCCTTTTTCTCACGCCTAGCACATAGAAACGCACCGTTCTCAGAGTTATGAGAGGCGCTTTCGCGAAACATGTCAATAGTTCATTAGCTCCTGATAGTGAAATAATCCAAAAAGAAAGAGGCCTACAAACAGAAGAAGCCCATGAAAGGCTATCCTATGACACATTAGCATATCCAGATGTGATGCAACAGAACAACGGATAAAAAGAAACACCAGCACCAACCAATTATAAAGACCTGGCCAACTATTGCCAGCCCCCACACCATGAGAAATTAGAAAAAGGTAGGAGACAGGGAGAGAGAGAGAGAGAGAGAGAGAGAGAGAGAAGGGAGAGAGAGAGAGAGAGAGAGAGAGAGAGAGAGAGAGAGAGAGGAACAAAAGCAAGAAAATGAAACAAGACAAGACAAGTTTTCTCTTTAACTAAGTAACATTTTCCTTTACCATGTACAGATTTGTCTAGCAATCTAAGCACGACAGTCATCTGAATAAATTCAGAAGTCAAAGAAGCTTCACCCTGTTAGCCATCATTATAGAAGTTGTAAGAAATGGACTAATATACACTTTTAATTAAAAGCAACATCAGCTGTCAAAAAGCATAATTCAAATCAGTCAGCAGACCATAAGTTCAAAAATTCATAAATATCACTTCGCTGCATATAAAATTACATAAATGTAATCCAGCAAGCATATAGGAGTAACAATCAGGAGGGAAGAAAAAATACACTGAAAGCAGGTATAAGACTATTTACAGAACACAATTTTCAATCATAATGTGCATAGTCACACATGTGTTAAGTAGTCTGCATCCAGATTTTGGAGAATTGCCATTCCTGACCCAACATAAACACAGAACAACAATTATAATGTGCATGTTGGCTGCACTTAATCTAATACTACATGAACACCAACATTAGCATCATTATGCAGTAGCAACAAGAACTAAAAATAAAATCAAAACCTTTAAACAGTTAGAAGCATCCATTAGCAATGGAACAAAAAATAAAAAAAACAACCCATCAAGTGTAATACAATGGTTCATGGCGAAAGGAACAATCAATTTCAATCTTTGATGAGATTCATTCTAAGGCTGAGAAAGATGTTATCCAAAATCCAACAAAAAATTTAATTTCATCCACATCCTACATCCTGGTGGCGAGAAGTTACTAGTTGCCTTTATAACACAAACAGATCTTAAAAATTAAAAAAGATTCTGAAAAAAGAGCTGATGTCTGAATTTCAAAAACATGTATCATATCTGTGAAGATTCATGAACTACAACGAACCAGATAGATCTCTGCGAAAAGCCACAGATATATACAATAGAAGCAGACCAAATGCAATGGGAGTCCCCCCATCTGTACCAACATAAATCTACCTGATAGTGACAAACTTGTTGGTACCATGTTTAGCCCAGTGAGTCCTCAAATCAATAGGGTTAGCAAAGTTATAGCCTTCAGCAGCAAGTTTCTCCAATACCTTCTTAAATGCCCCCTGGCTCATTTTCCTTCCAGCTATCCTAGCACCACGTCTTTTAGTGCTCATTGGCAAGGGATACATTGATACATTGGTGGTGCAACAAGCAGACTGCCATCCACCACAACCCCACCGATAACACTGCTGAGGAGTTCCAGTACATGAACAAACTGGAATCGGAATACCTGAAATGTCCATATCAATCCCATTTATCACAACATCCATACTTTTCTTAGCTGGCTTCACACGCTGAACTGCATTATTACTATTATCTTTCGGCTTACGAGGTTTCTTAGCTTTAGGTGTTTTGGGGGCACCCCCACCTTGTCTTTTCTTCAACTGGCTACCTTCCTTGTTTACATTTGGCTCCTCAATCCTGGCCACCCTCTCATCCCTTGATGAATTGGGTGGCTGTAGAACTTGCAAGGAGTGAGCACTAGAAGTTTCAGGAAGAACAGCATAATTAGGATTTGGAGGTAACATGTTCACCCTGCTCATCCAACTGTCTCTTACATAGTTCATAGGGACAGGAGCATCTGAAACCACGCAATCGCGTGGATGAAACGCTGCGCTGGCACCAACCATTATGTTGTTAGGATCACGCCCAGGTAGGAAATGCTTTGTGTCACGATCTGCCATGCTCGACATGAGCTGCAGACCCAAATGCCCTTTAAAGGTCGGTTCATAATAACCCCAATTGCGCATGTTGAGTGCATCGTCGTCCATGAAAACTACAAGTTGAGAGCAACAGCAGGAAGGGAAATTAGTCCTTTGTTCCGATTTATATTAACATATTATATTCAGTTCCGGTCTAAAAATCAACTTTTTCAACAAGTTCTGGAACAATATAATAGTTTTAGTGCAATCCTAATGACTGCAACTACAAAAATAATAGTACATCAATATAGCATTGCGTTTCAAAGCTAAAAACCCAAACATGATAAAAATTATGCTTTGAAATGATGGCTCAACCAACAAAACAGATCGAGTCAATTTTCAGCAGAACTGAACAAAATGCAAATAGATCAGCAAAAATGGTATATACATAAAAACAAACAATGTCTATTGGTGACAATTTCGAATCACATTTTTCAATTTCATATACATTTACAAGCCAATACAAACGAAATGGCAATTATTGCGCTACAATTTCTAATTAATTTCAGATCCAGAATAAGAAAATGTAATACTCCCATCAACAAAATTCAAATTCAAAATACCCATTAACAAAAAAACGGAAATTTCCGATATTCAAGTCTCTGCGACACATCCAGCATTTCCTCCGGCACCCAACCACAAACCTATTACCAGATCTACAATAATGAAATTTCAAAACGGAAAGCATTTCCATAAACTAGGGTTTCAAAGGTTTGACTTTGACAACAATTGCAGATCTCCGACAGCAGAAGCGAAATCACAAAATCACGAAATGCAATTTAACCTAAAAATGTAGATGTATAGACATGTATGTGTATATAAGGTAGGTCTTAAGTACAGGACCCATATATTCAAATTTTAGAAAGAGAAAGAGGGAGAAAGGGAGAGGAGAGAGAAAACTTACTTGGGGGTGTAAACGGCTCTTGAGGGTTTTGCCTTTCTGGAGAGAGAAAGAGAGAGAAAGAGGAGAGAGGAGAGAGAAATCTGAGAGAGAAAGACAGATAGAGAATGAGAAAGAGGAGAGAGGAGAGAGGAGAGAGAAAGCCCTAAAAATGAGAGAAAAAGAGAGAGACCCAAAAATGTGTATCTATCAAAGGAAGGATATTTATTTATTTTTTTATTTTTTTCAAATAATTTATAAACAAAATCTAATATAAATATATACGCATATTCATATAAAGGAATTGTTTTTATTGTAGTAGGGCATAATATGTATGGACTATTGAGCCCATATGCCAACAAAAGCTTAATTCTTATCTTCTTCTATTGCTCTTTGTTTCCAATTTCAGAGCACCAACTTTATTTTATTCTTGCTTTTCAAGAGTTTGCTTCTGGTTTTTATACATTCTTTTGTAAATCATGTGGGTCTTTTTTTTTTTCTATTTCTTTTTTACCCTTCTTGTTTAACTACATTTGAGATTTATGACAAATATGCCACTTATGCCTATTAAATATGGACAAAGAAATATTGTATTTTTACTTTATAAATACATCACATTGAACCTTTGAATTTTTCTTCTTCTTATATGGATTTGCTTATTTGCCAGTTCAATTAATAGATTGGTAGTTAATTACTCTATTCCCAAAACTTTCCCACATTTTGTATTGCTGAAATGTAATTTTCCATCAAATGGTTTAAATAGTAAATCTAAGCAAAACTCAAGTTATAAATATGTTTATTTTGGAAAAATTCAGTAATTTTGTAGAATAGTGGAATTATAAATTAAAAAAAAAATTTATTCTATGGTCTAATTTAAAAAGGTTATAATTTTAGTTGCTTTTATGAAAATAAATTGTCTTTAATATCTCCTTATATAATTTCTCTTATTGAAAAACCTTCTTTGTTACCAATTTGTCGAGTTGAATTTTCAACACAGAACTAGAGTGATAGACAAGCAGGCCTTTTGGGCTTTATATCAACAAGGCTAAGCCTTGAGACATTGGGCTAGTATTGGCCTTTTAGGCCTTTCGGCTTTTCCATTTTAGAAATATTTTTTCCTAAAAAAGAAAAAACACATTAATGAATTTGATGGTTTTTACTAATTTTGTAGAATTCAAAGATTTGGTATCAATAACAAATGCCCTTTAATTAATTCATATCCATATAAATTTGTTCATATAAGAATCACTAGAGGTTTCTTCTTCTTCTTTTTTTTTTTTTCATATTTCTTAATTTTATCTTGTTTTCTCTTGTTACCCTTCTATCTTATATCATATTATATAAAAACATATGATATTTCTTAATATAAAAATTAAAAAATAAAGAATTTTTTCTCCATACCTATCTAGTGACAAATTATCTGGAGCTGATGTTTACATCCAAATTTCATTAATATAAAAATCTCCATTTCCAATATCTAGAATTTTGTTTTACGTATAATTGAAAATAGAGCTAGTGAATCTCATTTGAATTGTATATATAACATATCAAAATAGGAATAGTTTCACCTATGTAAACAATGGATGATTAAGATTACATATTATTTGAGCGGTTTTCAAAATCAATTAAATTTCATTTTTTATTTTTAATTTTTTATTGAAAAATTCTTTTCTGTTTCTTATTAATTGAACTATATGTTTTATGGGTTTTTTTTTGGTAATATATGTTTTGCTTTGCTACGGTGGCTTAAATCTCAGTTAGAAGTCTTTTGTGCTTGATATTGAAATGGAAAGAAAAAAAAAAAAGAAAAAAAGAAATCAACAGTTTGAATGTTATTTTTTTTTTTTATTAGTAAAGGTGTCCTTCCACTTTCGTTTAACTGTAGATGAGAAATTAATTCCTTTCGAATTAAAAAGCGATTATCTATCTATATTATATATAAAGTGGGAATGAAGGAGAAATAAAGAGATTGCCGATATTGTTCTTGTGAAATTTAAGATATCCTAATATAACCTTAGTTTTAACCAATTAAAAAATTTTAATCTGAAAATATATATAATATTTCTATAATTTGATTGGATTTTGTTTTTTAGTTTTTTTTAATAGATAAATAAATATAGATAAGCAAGCATTTCAAAATTTTAAATTTTTTCTATTATTATGTTATTGTGTCTAATTATATTTTATTTTATTATATATAAAAAATTTTAATCTGAAAATATATATAATATTTCCTTTTAATTTTGGATTGGATTTTGTTTTTTAGTTTTTTTTAATAGATAAATAAATATAGATTAAGCAACATTTCAAAATTTTAAATTTTTTTCTATATTTATGTTATTGTGTCCTAATTAATTTTATTTTATTATATTTTATATATAATTATTAATAATATTTAATAATTTTTTAATAATATTATTATATAGTTTATAAATTTAGCTTATTATTATTATAGTTTATAATTTAGCTTCGACATTATTATTTTAAATAATATAGGTAAATGGGGCATTTGAAAATTTTTATATTTTTTTGAATTTATGTTTAATAAATATAGCTAGATAATTCAGATTTGATTTTAAAAGGATATGGTTAAATTTTTTTAATTACAAATTCACTCTAATTTTGTTACCCAAAAAATAAGATAAAAATTTATTATTTTTAAATGTCTCGAATTTAATTAGTTATATTGATATTTTATACAATTCAAACCCTATTTCTTTTAAAGAATATAATTTTATTAATGATTTTTTAAAATGCTTTCATGATTTTGATTAGCTAAAAAAATAAAATTATTTATAAATATTTAATTTGATTAATTATATGGCTTTCTTATTCTATTGTTAACGTATATTTTTTTACTACAAGGGATTAGAGAATCCAATGAAAGTCATTACCAAAACATGCAAATTAATTATAAAATGTATGATAGAAGCTATTTGATGATTTTTACAAATCAATTTGGTTTTTCTTTAAAAAAGAAAATGAAAGCAAATAACATATAATAAAAACCTTATGAATCCCAGTACGTTGGCACAGAACCAAAAAGATATTTACTGTATATATAAAGTGTAATATAATTTAACAACTCAATTTAAATAATAATTTATACTTTAATATTATATAAATAAAAAATTAAATTAGTACAACGAATGAATATATAATGAGCATAATCAATGTGCAATGCATATTATAAAGAAGACTCATATAAATTAAAAGCCTTTCCAAGATACCAATTCTACAACTCAATCTGACAATTACCAAACTGAAGTTTAATGTGTTTCAATCACTTGCTAAATTTGAATTAAAATATCAATTATTAATGAATAAGTGAATGCATATTTAGCGGTGATTGGGGATTTAAATCCCAGAATCTTTCCCCAAAATAAAATTTATCATAGTAAAATTTAATTTTAGATATATTTATTATTTTATACACTCTCTTTTTCTTAATTATTTGTAACTTTTTTTAAAAGGATTTGTAACTCTTTTTAGGAAAACGTTTTCGTTTTTTTTTTTTTTTGTGTGTAACAATTTGGGTGGCTTGTTTATATCATGTTTTTGATAGGGCTAGATTGCTATTGGGGCATGGATCTCATCTATTTTTAAAACATTAGTTGATAAATTAATTATAATTTATGCCGACTTGTTCAACTATATTTTGCTTTAATAACCTATCATTGACGTACGAAAGCTGTCTTACTCTTGGCTTCTAGTTCAAAAATGGTTATTGGAAGATTGAGACATATGACATGTGACGTGAGACATGAGACATGTGACGTGAGATGCCTTAAAGCGAATATTATATTTGAATTTTTTTTGCATTATTGACTGTGGATATTGAAACTTAAACATTTGCAAGTTGCTTCCAAATAAAGTTTCGAATTTTATTAATTAAATTCTTTTTTCAGATGATTTTAAAAAAGGATCAGGGTTTGATGTTTCTCGAAATGAAATTTCTCTTACTTCTCATTCAATCCCGTGGTACTTCTTTCCTCTAGCAGGCTTTGTCTCATATCACATTACTTATTCTATATTACTTATTCTATAAACTTCTTTACTCGGGAATCACTTACTCAATATTTGGATCCCTCTTGGTTCAGACTCTTGCATATTTACTGATTCTCAAAGTTTGATTTTTCACTTATTATCCTCTTCTTTGGACTTGTCCAAGCTAGGGATTATTATTCGAAATTGTAAAACCCTTTTAAGTAGAAGAGTTGATATCCTGTTAGATGGATCTGTAGCCAAGCAAGTATAGCAGCTCATTCACTAATTTTCTATAGTTATTCTAGATTTCAAGTTTGGGATAACATTCCTCCTTGTTTGTTATGAGTTTACCATTCACACTAATAACAGTTGAGTTTTCTCATTCAAAAAAAAAAAAAAAAAAAAAAATCCCTCATTCAAAAAAAAAAAAAAAAAAAAAAAAAAAAAAAGGTTTTAGTTTATATTGCAAAATATTATTTGATGCTATAGGTTAAAATATATTTTTTAGAATAGATTTTCTACATTTAATCTATATTTAACTTCGATTCTATATTTTACAAATTAAATGTTCAATAAAATGATAAATTGAAGTTAAATTGTTTAAAAAAAAAAAAAAAAAAAAAAAAAGGTTTTTAGTTTATATGCAAAATATTAATTTGATGTATAGTTAATATAATTTTTAGAATATAGATTTTTACATTTATCTATATTTAACTGATCTAATTTTACAAATTAAAATGTTCAATAAAATGATATTGCAAGTTAAATTGTTTAATAAGTGTAATTTTATACGTTGAAATATTTGATGAGCCAAAGTGGAAATTGAGGATACCGCAAGATTAAAGTAACAAAATTCAGTAGCGAATTTATTCATCTAGCTCATATGCATGGCTACCAACTGGGCAATATGCTTGCCTATACCTGATTAAGGGGTCACCCATACACCAAGCCAATAATTGATTGCCATGTAGAATATTGTTATAATTTTTTATTAATTCTTTTTTAGTAAATTGTCAATAATATCATCTAAATAATTTTAGGAGATTAATCATACACCAAATATACATGAGTCATGCTCAATCAATTAAGAGCAAACTAAGTCTAACATTGCATATGGATAGCAATAGACTAGCACAATCAATTGCATAGTTATAGCCAATCAGGTGTAGTCTGATTGATCTTTTTACCTCTCGTAGAAAATATAGGGAGTGAGAAGTCTTGAGTTCGAGTTTTCTCTACCATAAAAGTTATCACCAATTTAGTGAATGTCATTCAAAGGGCATGAGAGCTATCTCCTGCTGTGTAGCCCATAATAAATTGTTATTCTTCTCAATTAAACTATTCTGGTCTATAGCTAATCAGGTGTGATCTGATTGCTCTTTCTACCTCTCTTAGAAAATGTAGGAAGTGAGAAATCTCAAGTTGAGTCTCTTCACCATAAAAGTTTTCTACCTTTCCTAGAAGATGTAGGAAGTGAGAAGTCTCAAGTTCGAGTCTTTTTCACCATAAAAGTTATCGCCAATTTGGTGAATGTCTCTTTTGAGATCCAAATTTATCCTTAGTCTAAAATATTAATACCACTAATTAATTAAGACATACATATATCAGAAAAAAAAAAAAATTAAAGTGAAAGAACAAACGGCTAGTAAAAGTGTATAAAGGCAGGCTGCAATATCTTGCTTTCCGCTCTCTACGCTAGCAAGCAATTTCTTTCTTTCTAATATGCATTTTTCATTTTTCATTTTTTTTTCATCTTCTGCAAATTCAAGAAAAGCAAAAAAGTAGGAGATTGTTAAGATTTTCAACCAAACTGTGCTACTATTGCTAAAAGCAAGAAAGCAAGAAAAGAGCTCTTTGTCACTCGTCCAAAGAAAGAACAAAGATATATTTAGCTGCTAGCTAGCTCTAGCCTAATAAAGAAAGATAGAGGTTATATATATATATATATATATATAGATAGAAAAAAGAAATAAGCAATCAATTAATTACAAAATCAAGAAAACAAAAGTAAGAAAATGGTGGGAATCTTTCTTCGTTTTTCACTGTATAAGCGATCCCACATCGCCACCTCTCTTCTCTCAGTACTACTCCTTTTCATGCTCTGTTTTCTTTACTATTTTCATTTATATTTTTTAAAATCTTTTGCTCTCTCTCTCTTTCTTTCACTCAAAGACAGATACTGGCATTAGCTTATGAGCATCAATTGGTCTCTCTATGGGTTTGTCATGTGGGGAGCATGATGGTGTAAGTGTCTGCTTATCTTTTCTTTCTTTTGGGTTTTGTATTTCTGAGTCTGATTTTGATGTTGTTTTTTTTTTTTTTTAAATTTAATTTGTTAGGGTAAGAGAGAAAGTGAAGTTGCATTAGTAGATGAGATCAGACAAAGGAGTAGTCAAAGTCAAATGGATCATATGCAAATTAATAGTGTATCTGTAGAATTTGATGTTGATTTTTGGCCAGTTGAACACCCAATGGAGCCTCAAGATGAAGATCGCCCTGTCAAATGTCCAATACCAACATCTTCTGTTCTCAATGTAAGCTTTTCTTCCTATTTATTTAACTCAACTTTCACGGGCTTCATGCCATTTTTTCTTTCCTTATGAGTCAATTTCCACTTATCATTAGCACTTTCCATTCATCTATTAAGATTTGGATATCAATTATGATCATGAAGTTTTCTCTTAAAATAATTTGAAGGATGGGAGAGTGCATGAGGAGAGAAATGGTGAAAGCTTGAGGAAAAGAGCAGAGGTTTCAACAATGGTGAACAAAGAAGGGATTGTTATTGTTGGTGCAGAGCCTCCAGTTGGAGCAGTGCGTAAAAGACACCATACTCTTACCAATGGAGATCATGTTATTACTCCTTTAAGAAGAATGCCTTCTCTTCCTCCTCTACCAGCCCAGAATGTCACTATCTTTCAAATGCTTCAGCAATTAGATGAGTTTGAGTGTTAGAATGGTGCGTATATATATATAAATTGAGTTTCTATTTCTTATCCTTTCTTTCTTATGTTGTTGTTTTTAATTCGTTCCTTTACGGAGTGATGAGAACATTCTCTTCTTGATTAGATGATAATTTAGCTTCAACAGAGAAGGGGGAAAAAAAAAAAAAAAAAAAAGGGGAAAAAAAAAAAAAAAAAACTAAATTAGCAAGACTTATATTGCACGGGGAAAAAAAAAAAAAAAAAAACTAAATGTAGCAAGAACTTTATATTGCACTAGCATTTTGGAATATATAGCATTTTGTAAACTACCTATCTCATAATGTTTTGTGTTAAAACCGCTTGACATTTGATGTTCTTTTACGGCGGAAAGATTATGATATGTAAAGATGATTCTTGTGCATCACTCACGGGGATATATTCCTCATCTTAATTAAGATTAATATACATAACCTTAGTTAGATTTTCAAGAAATGTTTAACAGCATTACTGCTGCAATTATGCGAACAAAATGCTAATGCTATATGTTGCGAACATCATAATGGAACATGATATAATTCGAGGTAAGCAAGAATGGATAAAACCGAAAAACTAATCTAGTTCGGTTGTTTAGATATTCAAAGTGTTTTCCATTTGAAATTTTAGATAATTCCGTTTCAAATTTTGATTCAGTTATAACTTCTGTTTCAATTTTTGATTTAATTATACAAAATATGTGATTTTTGCCTAAAATCAATCGGAATTAACTGAACTGACCTGGTTTTAGTTTGCTTTCAATTTAACCACCTGTTTGCATAACCCCAAATATAATGTACTCAAAAGGATTACGTTACAGCCCTAGTCGACACCAATCTAAGTGCAATAACAAGGGCAGGAATTAGGCCGTTAATAGATGAACCGAAAGGAGAGATGCCAATTCTTTCTTTCAATCAAAGCAATCTCCCCCCAGATTGGCAGTCATACGCTGCACGGACAAAAAGCATTTTCACTTTATAAAAAGAAGTAAAAGAATACATCTCCAATCATTACTCGTATTCGGTTGTAGCTTTCTCTGTTTCTCAGACTTAACAGTAACACTTGATAAAAGTAAAATGTTCACTCTCTATATATTATTATTATTATAGCAGTGTGAACAGAGTACAAGGTGTATAACCCCTAGCATTAGCAAAGAAATTGAAAATGGGTATGAGAAAATCATTAGATGATCCTCATACCTTCGCAATTTTACTTTGCCTACAATTGCTAAGTTCAAGACTTGTTTTCATTTTTCGAAGTGAGAGATATGATGAACAAAACCCATATCTGGTACAAGTATGGTTCCGGACGTGAGTTTGCTAATTTCAAGCTAAAATTGTACAGATATTTAAGTATTTTCTCATTCTACAAGTGAAATACAAAGAGCGATAGCCATGCCCAGTACGAGTGAAATTATTTGGACCATTGAACTTCTAAAAGTCGAGCTGCCATTGTTCATTTCTGCAAGCACTCCAGCAACAGCAATGTATATGAACCCACCTGCCGTAAATCCCTGAAGGAGAAGATTAAAGAAACTAAGAGAGTTGCACAAAAATTTTAACTGTCCAAGTGAAGTTAAACAGTGTTAAGGGATGCTCACCTCAATCAAAGATGACTGTCCTGGATCTCTTCCCCAGAGCAAAGCCTAGAACAAAAGCAGCAATATTTAATTTTTCTTCATTGCTTGATACGAGAAAGGAAACACATTTGAGATATAGTACTCACCAATGCAGTTCCTAATAAAGCCACCAATGCAGAGAGGAAGTTGAAAAAGAGGGCTTTAGATACGCTAAAACCAGATCTTACCAGGATACCAAAATCTCCTATCTGCATAGAAAGATACACCAAGCTATTTACTTGCAAGAAGCATAATGTCCTAAAGTTGAAGCAAGAGACTAACAACCCAAAGATAATCGATGTCATAAAAACAATCATATCATGTACTAGGAACTATTTAGTATAGGATCATCCTACATCCTTGTAACTCGCAGATGAAGTTAAAATATATTAGTACTACAAGATTGCTTACAAGAAGTAATAGCCTCTGTAGGTGCCTGAATATAGGTTACATGGTTATTAAGCCAAGATATCAGGGTAAGCATGCATCTATTCTGTAATCAATTCCCAATATCTCATTCGTAATAAATTCTGAACGCGAATTTATATGTTAACATTAATTCCAAAATGAAATCCTAATTTTGGCAGATAACAACAAGGTGATTTGTTTACAAGTCAGTGATAATGCAAACAATAAATATTGCACAAAGTTGCTAAATAGTAATTCAATTTGCCAAAAAGAAGACGGAAACAAAGCTATCATATGCCTGAAAATGAGACCAAAAATAAATCCTCATGAAGGACGGATCCTTCAAAAACTAGTTGACCAATGAACAGATGGAGGAATCCAAACCTCCTGAGGAAGCTCATGTGCAAGCAAAAATAGAGTTCTAGACCATCCTCCAACAGATCCATAAAGCAGAAATGCACTTCCTAAAGCCATTCCATCAGTAAAATTGTGCTGCAAAGTCAACATTGCATAGCATAAAAAATCAAAAGCAGATTCTCCTTTTTCCTAATTTTAAAATAGTAATTTAAATAAACTATGATCTTTTGAAGTACAAACAAATGAAAGCTCAATGGAAAATAAGAAGGAAAAGAGCCGACGAAAAAAACGGAAAAACAAAGCAAGCACATACGTACAACACCATCAGAAAACAGATTGAGATAGCCAAACACTAGATTTGATGGTGCCTGAGTAGTTTCCTTTTTATTTGAGGATTTATTAGCATTTGTAGAGCCATCAGTAGCATCAATATGTGGCATATCATCTTTGCCATCAAGGGTAGTCTTTCTCTGCAGGAATACAAGCACACCAACTCAACATAAGTACTCGATCAATCCTAAACTAAATGGGGTTGGTTACATCAATTTAGGGCTAAGTTTTCTTTGAGAGGATATATCAGATAAGATTTTGTGTCCATTTGAATATCAATAAATTTATATTCCAATAGTTACTATATACCGCAAGGCTTTTAGGTTAAAATTGCCCAGCATTATTAGATATCCAAGTTGATCCCCAGCTGCCTAAAGTTGCAGAACAATTGACATGATATGCTAAATGCCTTTTTACCTTCCGAAGAGATTCGTGTTCAGTTAAATTATCCCCATTCAAAGAGTTAGCCGAAACTTCATCTAAACCTTTTCCTTCAGTTTCCTTAGGAGATACCGACTGCATCACACCATTAACATCATCATCATCATCTTCTTTTAATTTCTTACTGCTCTTGTGATGATGGTGGTGATGACCATGACTCCATGAATGAGCTCCAGTAGAATTATCGTCTACATATCTAACCACTTTCTCTACAAGAAGAAAAAGTACAATGCCAGCTGCGACAACCAGCGTATCACACAAGGTATTGTAACCCAATCTACAAAATCTCTGATGATAATAATAAATTGAAGAGAAGAGATTACACTACATATATCCACGATTAAAGCGACCAAAACAATTAAATAAGAAGTCAGATAGCATCAGTTCAACAAAATATTTACTATTCTTCCTGGCAAGTGCTTAAACCCGAAAAAAAAAAGAAGAAAAAAAAAAAAAAAAAAAAAAAAAAAAAAAAAAAAAAAAAAAAAAAGAAGTAGAATTCAGATGAAGTAGTTTACTACAAATCTTGCAGGACCAGTTATTCTCTCTGCCTCCCTCTCTCTAGAAATCAGATGAAGCAATTTAGTACAATTTCTGCAGGACTAGTTATTCTCTCTCTCCCTCTCTCTCTCTCTCTCTCTCTCTCTCTCTCATTTGAACTTAAGTAGACAAAAGTTTTACTGATTCAACACATGCACAATACAAGGATTCTAAACACGACCCATTCTTGAATGACAACAGAAACTCAGGTGATAACAAACAACAAGAACGACAAGGAGGCTGTCTACGTGTATTTAGACTTCAAAGGCTGACACTATTCAGGAAGGTTGCACGTAAGTATCTATCCTTACCCAAGATGGATAATCCAACAGAAAGATCTTTCAAAGAATGGGCATGTGAATGCCCATGTCCAATATGAGCATGATGAGAATGGTCCGTGTCATGATCATGAGAGTGGGAGTGTTCACCACCTGCAAAACATTAGTTAATGATTCATCACTCAATTAACAACTCCAACGCTCAAAAAATGATGTATTGCAAATTCCAGTTGACTTTTATAAGGTTTCGTCAACCTTACAAAGAATAAGTCCAGAAACAACTGATACTCCTTTTGTCCAATAATTTTAGTCCTTATACATTAAAGCCATACATTTGAAGAGACTTCATTTAACATATAGTATGAAATTACAAGCTGAAAAGAGATTAGGATTAACAGGCCATAACAATACAAGTTAAGGCAACAATTGATAGGAAGCATAACAAACTGAAAAGAGAATAGCACTTGATCAACTTGTACCAAAGGCATGTGGTAATTGATGAAGAAAAGCATCCCCTAACATAGCTCCTGCCTGAAAGGAAAAGGAAAATTTTATCAAGGTGAATAGAACAATACAACATAACACTAAATAAGAAAAGGAAACATTCATACTTTTGCAGAAACCACAACCTAGAATGTACAAAAGTAATCGAGCAACTCAACCTGAAGTTTAGAGTCAAATATCCAAAAATGTTTTGTAAGAACACTGCATGCTGGTTTGGAATTGAAAAACTCATGTAATTGTACTTGATAAGAGTTTCCTATATTATGAAATATATGAATCAGAAATTACACTCATACCAGTTTTCCTTCATTGAAATACTTTAATACATAATGAGGATTCACAACCTATCACTCTCCTTCCAAAGAAAGACCTAGGACTCAAGCCATTATGAGACAGGTGATATCTTGGGGTTACTATAATTTGACAACTGCACTCCCTATTAGAAGAAAAAAAATGTCAATCAGCCCAGTCCTCAAGAAAAATTAGTATCTCAGCTATGTGTTGGGGGGAATAAGTTGCAGATTTTAAGCAGAAGGCATTTGTGTCGATTAATAGCTTTTTCCAAAAAAACAAGAGAAGCAACAAGTTACAAGCTTATCAAGCGAGAAATCCAATCTTCAGAATAAAATGTTTGGAGATATGGTTAGCTAGCCAGCAGACTGCAGCCAAAATTATCAAGGGGGAAAAAAAAGAGGGCGCAGTGAGGCAAAAGGAATAACATCCTTGGCCCAAAAGGAAATAAAATTGGACAACAAACTTAAGGGACTCTTTGAAGTATAGGTGAGAAACCAAGCAATTCTTGCAATTGCTGCTCCAGGTCATGATCGAGATACCAACTGACAACAATAGAATTTATGGTGTCTTTCATGGCGGGTGCTTTAGCACTTATCTGATAATTTTATAAATTTAAAACGACTTCCCAAATATACATGCAACTAGGTGAAGAGCCATATAAAAAAAAATTGATTAAGCTTCGATCTCGACTTTGGAAATACTGCACGAATCTTTTGCAACCATTCAGCAAAATCTAGAGCAATATCAAAGACAATCTGTCGTAAAGCACTTGCCATAATTTGACAGATTGGATGGCTGTCCTAGCAGCTGGATTTAGCACAAATTCTACTCATCTCAGTAGCACTTCTAAGCAAATTCTTCAAACAAAATGTCCCAAACTTCAAGAATTTTTATATTGCCAAATATCCTCATGCTGATACAAAATCACCCAATTTAAGCATCACACAGAGAGAAGGAAGAAGTTCAGCCTTAGGATCTACCATAAATTATTAAGAAAGTATGAATTTGACATGCAACAAAGGTCAAACCAGTGTGGCAGATGATTAAAGTTAAATAAACCATCAGTATACTTGAAATCCAAAATTCATATTAAACAGTACCAGAAATGAAAACAAAGGATGACGAGTAAATAAGTGATGCTACTGGAGAAATACATTACATCAAAGAATTACAAGATGTTAACCATTCAAATTTTATAAAATAAACAATAATGCGTAAAGCTACAATGAAACAGGGCGTAGAGGTTGTCCCAGGAACTCACAAATTGATTTTAGTAACCAAAATTTATAAACTAAACGAGAATGGTTTAAGAATCTGACCCCAAATAAAGCCAATGAATCAACAACTGCCTTCGATGGTTTTCCTTGTACTGCAATAATGTGTAAAACACAAAATTCAGACTTTGTCCACATTAATAGGGTACTAAAACGCCAAAAATACATAACTTGGGGCAAAAAAATCAACATCTAACATGAGAAACATTTATACAAGTATGCAAAGACTATTTTAGAAAATTACAGCTGAATTCAATAAAATGATGCATAAGTATCTACTCACAAAGTCACTTACTAAATATGACTGGCAAAATAATCAGGCAGATGAGAGAAGCCAAGCTCACCAAAAGTGAGCATCCCAATGCATGTGACCAAAGACCTACGATAAAAGATAATGATCAGCAACAGCAATACATCATGTACACAAAACAAGTATTGGGAGCAACAGTGAAAATGATGAGACATATTGGGGATCACTTTCCCTCAAAATTTCCAAAGATTAACCAAATGTACTTGCAGTTGTTTAAGTGAAACAGACAAGCAGTGTAATGGAAACAAGGAAGAACAAAGTAAATTGCAAGTGCACAAATGGACGCAAGCAACTTTTTTTTTTTTTTTTGGTTAATTTACAAACTTCATACTGAAGTAAACAAGATATTTAATTAACTAGCATATGCCTTACCCGTCAATAAAGCTGTGTCCAATGCATCTAAATTAGTCTTTGTTCTAGCCAAATGAGTTCTTTCATGTGTTTCTATAGGCACTTGTATTAAGATGGCTTAGAGGAAGTAAAAAATGAAGGCAGTGCCTTTGGCTAGGAGATGCATCCAAGATTCTTCTTTTCAAACATCTATGCACCTGATCAGAGTGAGAAGGACGCTAGTGTATCTGAGTTTCTGCATCTTCAGCAAGGGATGAATATGGCTGGTGTTTCCTTTTCACAGAAGGTATCGATTTGCTTTATCATGGGATTTAATGTCTTCTATAAATTTTTATATATCTCCCCAATTGTAGGAAAGTCTAAGATTGTATTCATTAGTGAGCAATTGCCAAGTAAGTGACGAACTTTACTTGCCCTTGGAGACAGGTATCTGAGTATTCAACAGTGCAATAGAACATAGAAATTGACAAAAATTGTCCTAAACCTTAGAGAAGAAAGATAAATGCCCTAAAGTCCATGGACTCAGAAAATTCAGTTTCTGAGAGTAAAATCAAAACCCAACAGAGGTATACTACTATCACTGACTATAAAGGCAAAGCCTTTCTGCAGGACCACAATACACAAAACCTAACCTCTTAATACTCGTAGTCAATGCACAACCTCAACTCATCAAATAACCATCAATTTAGAATTGGCACCTGCACCTCCCACAAAACTGAGCCCAATTATAATGCACCTTCAAGACTACAACTTTACGAGCTCAACCTGCTAAGTTGAACTTCCGAGTGAAAATTACAGGCTTAAAGGTGCAAAAAAAGCATTTCATTTCATTCCCTTTTAAAAAAAAAAAAAAAAAATCACTTTCGCATATGGGCTAATGTATATTACCTAGACCAGTGAGCTTGGAATCATGGTCGTGACCATGACTATGGTGATCATGATGATAATTGCTAAAACCGTAGAGCTTCATATCCTCCTCCTCCGCCAATTCCTCGGGCAACATCGACTCAATCAACTGACCGTCATGATCACGATCATGATGGTGATGGTGATGGTGATGTGCATGTCCAACAGCACAGCCCTGGTGGTTGTGGTGGTGCCCATGTGAATCATCATCGTGCACCGGCGATGTACAGAATCCACTAGAAAAGCTCAGATCTATACAGAAGACTAAAACCACTAGCAAAGCTAGCAAGATCTGTTTTTGACTCTTAGCAAACACCATTCTCAACCAGAAAAAAAAAAAAAAAGGATAAAAAAAATAATAGTTGATTTAAGGAATTTAGAGGGAGAGAAAAGAAAAAAAAAAAAAAGCGGGAAAAAGAAGGGAGTGTTTGGGAAAGGACTAAGAATTGCGGCGCTTGCAAGTGCCTTCAATGGTGATGAAACAAACAACGCAGAGAAAGAGCAGGATTATTCCGATTATGATGCCGAATGTAAGTACATCCATATTTACTCTCTCCCGTTCTGCAAAAGATTTTTCATTTTTTTTAATTTCTTTTTCTTTTATTTTTTTTTTAATCTTTTTGCTTTTGTTGTTGGAATTTCCGAAACGGGATCTGCCGCTGACGCACCAGAGAAGCGCACACGGAGAGTGTTGCGTTGCGATTTAATCGAATAATTAATGGTCAGTGACGGTGAGTGAGGTGTTAGTGTGCTCGAATTTTCGGAAGAGAACGACTTATGACCAACTCTAATAATTATAAATCATTTTTTTCTTCAAAATACATCTATTTTTTTATAAATATTTTTTTTTATTTAAGGGTGAATAGAAATACTGAATATATCAAACTGAAATTGATTTGATTTGATTTAATTGATATATTTATTATTGTCAATTTAAATGGTATAAATTCGATTTTTCTTTAATTTAATTCGATTTTACAAAAATCACTCAATTAAGCTTAAAATCAAATTATAAATGGATTCATCAATTGATAAGGTGAATATGCCAAGGCTTGGTCTTAATTTGTCAACTTTGCATGTTTCACAAATTGTGTTCCATGCCCCATTTGATTAGAAAACATTACAAGTTATATTTTAATTTTTCAAATTCTTATTTGCTTATTTTGTGTTTAAACAAAAATTTAATATAAAAAATTAAGAATTTATATTATAAAATTTTAACATCTAAGAATACTCCGTTATAGTTTTTAAATATATAAATTAAACCAGAAAATGTTATTTTTATCTTTTGTTATAGAAAAATTTAAAATAACATAAGTTGATTTCTACCCTTTCTATTTTTATTTATATATATAAAAAACAATGACTATATTATTTCAACCTTCGACCAAATATAAAATTTTAAGAAATGCCATAACAAAAATTCATTATTTTCAATTTATTAATATAATTATATTCAAAAAAAAAAAAATCTAACTAGCAATTGGAAAGACTCCTCATGGTGGCATCACGAGTTTAACTCTAATACCAGCACCAAAAAATATATCTTCTACATATATGGGCAAACTAGAAAAACGAAGAAATACCTTGTGAAATATTTTTATAAATTTGCAGACAGAGAATCCTTTTAACTCGTTCTTTTGATAGTTGTATAAATTAATAGTGAAGAAAGATCTCACGGGATTGAGCATTTTGAGTAGATAAAAGAATTTTGCAAGAGTAGTTAGGCAAGAAATGTTGCGTTTATGTCTGTTTTCTTGAATCTAAGATCAAAATTTCCAAGCTGACCAAAGAATTTGCCGGAACATAAAAAAAGAAAATTTGTAATAGTCACAAAGTTGCATGTTAAAAGCATGTCACCATTTATTTACTTGAAGAAAACCCTCTCATTACTGATACAATAGCGATACATTTGCATGGAAACTCAATTTTAAAGAAAATCATGCACATTGTGAGCAAATCTTATATACCTTAATTTGATAATTAAGCTTATATACCCCTTTTGTGTCTCTCCAATTTTATTTCTAGGCGCTAAGTGTGTGACCAAAGCAATGCATATATAGTATAGTATAAGTAAGCCTGTCCTGTATGGTTTCCTCTCTTGAATTTCTGCTAATTAATCTCTTCATGCTCGTTAAACGCACTATCTCTCCCTTTCTTGATTTCATCTATCTCTGTCTTGGGATTTCAATCTTTGTGTCATTATGTCTCATTTGGACATAACCAGTAACTGCAAGAAAAGGAAGAGAGGAGAGAAGGTGTTTAGGTTCAAGAACTTTGGTGAAAATGGATACCCAGTTGAGTTTGATGGGTCATTCAGGGAAAATGTTAAAGCACTTCTTGAATTAGGGTATTCTGAGAGTAATATTTGCACTGGAATTCCAAGTTGGTCATTTCAGCTTGAAGTCAGTTGCCACCCTCCTTTCTATATCTTGTTGTTTGTCATTGAAGAGCCAATTGAAGCTTCTTTGGATCACTATTGCTGCAAGCATTGTTTATATGTTGGTGATGTCTTGGTTCCCTTGTTACTGCTTTCTTTTAATTTCTTGACAACCTTGGACTGTCTTCTGTATAAAAGGACAAGTTTTATATTACCATTTTGGACCTATCCTGGTGACTCTTGGCCAGTAATAAAGAATAACTAATCTATTTTTTTCTTCCTTGTCCTTTTTTTGTTCTTTTTTCTCTTAATATAAGCATATATTTGGGATTAAGACTTAGTTGTTGTTCCTGTCATTGTCATAATCTAAACAAATATATATTTGAAGATAAAAGAGAATTTGTGCGTTTAATTAATGGGTGTGTTCCTTTCTTTTTCTCTCATTGGATTTGGTGATTCCTTTATAGCTCAGGCTGGGGTGAACATCTGATATGCAACAAGAAGTATCACTTCGTGCTACCGTCCAAGGATACAGTCATTGCTTTCCTGAACCGTGAAGGCAACTTTGATGGGGAAATTTCAGTGAAGGGTAATAAGTTCAATATAGCAGAATTACAAGGCCATATGATGCATGGTGTCTTTCATTCTGATGGGTTTGGTCATTTGCTGTGTGTTAATGGCTTGGAAGCTGGTTCCAACTTGTCTGGACGCCAGATCATAGAATTCTGGGATCGTTTGTGCACTGGCTTACAAGCAAGGTTAGGCTTCTTTTTTATCACTTCTTGTGTATTTCATTTGATTTACATCCAATGAAACAAGAGTGATATGTTCAATAATTTGTTGCAGGAAAGTGAGTTTGAATGACATTTCACAGAAGAGAAGCATGGAATTAAGGCTACTTCATGGCATAGCATATGGGGAGCCTTGGTTTGGTCAATGGGGTTACAAATTTGAGAGAGGAAACTTCGGTGTAACTGAACCAATCTACCAGAAAGCTATAGGAACTATCCAAGGCGTGCCCTTGTGCATCTTAGTTCATTATCTTAGCAATACTAATCCTGATCTTCCTTCCATCATCTCCAAATACCAAACCTTATCAGATTATTCCTTAGCGACACTTGGCGATCTTTTTCGCTTCATGTTCGAGCTTAAATCTCACCTTCCTGAAGACAACTCTATTGATGCATGCACTACAGGAATTGTCATAGAACCTAATTGTAGATGGTCTGCAAAGAGAATTGAAATGGCAACTAGAGTTATTGTAGAATCCTTAAAAAGAGCTGATTTTAGATGGGTTTCAAGGCAAGAAGTTAGGGATGCTGCTCGTGCTTATATTGGTGACACAGGATTACTAGACTTTGTGCTTAAGTCATTAGGAAACCGTATAGTCGGAAATTATTTAGTTCGCCGGAGCTTGAATCCGGTGACAAAAGTGTTGGAGTACTGCCTAGAAGATGTCTCAAATATATTTCCTGCCCAAGAAAGTATTAACATTAACAATTCCAAAGTAAAGGCCAGATATAAGATTACAAGATGTCAAGTAATGAAGGATATGTACTACTTTTACAAGTATGTTGTTAAAGACCAAAAGCAGACTGTCAATATGGGAATTCTTACAGCAATACAAGCAGCTTCAAGAATAATTCTTGACACTAAATTTCTTGCAAAAGACTATTATACAGAATTCCCTTGTAGAGTTGAATTAGGGCTTGAAGGGAAATTGAAACTCTATTGCACAGTATTTTTAAGGAACAATGAAGAAATAGCTAATGAAGGGATAAACAAAGCAATGCCACCATTTGAGTGTATTACTTTGAAATCAAATGCTACATTTGATGAGCTAAAGCAACAAGTTGAAAGAAACTTCAAGGAATTATACTGGGGATTTCGAGGTTTTGCTGTCGAGTCGATACTGAACTTGAATGCTAAAGGGAGCGATCTAGTTTTTGGATTAGTTGAAGTGGGTCAGAAAATGGTGTTTGAAGGGAGTAATAGGGAGAGAGGAATGATTAATGAGTTGATATATGAAAGTGGTAACAATAACAGAGTCGTGGATTGCCCTTGTGGAACTAAAGATGATGATGGAGAAAGAATGGTTTCATGTGATATTTGCGAGGTATGGCAGCATACAAGATGCGTTAGGATCCCATATCATCAGGAAATCCCTCATATATTTCTCTGCAGCCGCTGTGAACATGAAATCATAATCTCACCTTCTTTACCTTAGTACCTATTAGTTTTCTTTTCACTTCTAGCTTATATATGTTCTTCGTCAAACGTGACTATTTCGAGGCATATAAAAAAAAAAAAGGAATGTTTCAGTTGTAGAATGGATATTTATAATTAGGCGTACCAACCTGACTCCTAATAAGACTAAAATCTATCTTAAACGTTCTTATCATGCTGGAAAATGTACTCAATGCGAGTATATGACAGAAACTAAAATGTCACTGCTTCATAGATCTTGAACATGCTACACTTGCCATCTCCGGCCCCATACGTATAAAAAACGATCTGTTTACATCTAGCTGATTTAATAATCTCCCTGCTGTTAATAGTCTTGAAACAACAAACTGAACAAGCTTCATAGACAGACATTTATTTCTTTCTATGTATCACATCAGAATGATCCTACAATATGCATCTCTAAATATACCAAGGTTTCCTACATCAAATGATAGCCCATCACACTGAAGTACATTATATACACGGATATGCAAACCACAAGCAAAATCCACAAAAAGAAAAAAAGAAAGAAAAGAAAAGAAAAACATGGTCAGTCTACTACTATAAAGCTACCATATTCGTTTTCCCCTATACTGTGAAACAAAGACTTGAGGGTTAACAAGTACTTCCAAACTATTTATCTACCCAGTATTTTCCTTCCAGAAGCCGATATTCTTCAAAGCAAATAGCATCCCAGCGCATTTTCACAAATGTCAGTAACCACTCTCCCATGTACTCCTAACGATTCACAATCACGGACTAGTGTACATCTATTTGATATTCACAAGGTTCCACTGCTTAAAATTGAAGTGATGAGCCACTGTGTAATGTTGCCTGGTCCAGAACACCAAATTATCAGATTTCTAGTGTAATCAGAAACAGAAACAAAATTGAACTGTCTAAAGGATTTTGATTAAAGAACACATAAATCAGTCTCCTTTTGCCTTGCATAGCACTTAAATGAACAAGCACATGTTTGTGTGCATGTGCCAGTCTTCATTTCTTAAATCAACTAACCATGCTATATATTGCTTGCCACAAAAACTGGTAGTATAGGTACAAAAATGAGAAAGAAAAGGAAAACTTATTTAAAGGTTAATAGAGGTTAAGCAGAACGTACCATTAACAGTTTTTTGAACTAACTCTGAGGAGGAGAGCCTGGCTCAGAATCACAAACAGAAGCGAATGACATTGTATCTTCTTTTGATATGGCCACAAAGTTCAGTGGTGCAGTAGACAACCTTCTCATTTCCTTGAAGTATCCATTTTGACGTCCAGAGTAAGATCGGGGGGTGAGGAGCTCAGGAGTTGCGGCACCAACTGAGTTTCGGCGAGGTGTGGGGGTCATGGAGCCATTTCCATTTGCACGATAACCATTTGCTTTTCTAAAGCTGTTACTTTTTCGCGGACTCGGTTTGGAACCATACATGAGTTCCTTCTCCGTTAACAGTAGATCTTGGAGTTTCTTCTGATCCTGTAATAAATCAGTAAATTGATTGTAAGAAGCAAGAATATTAACTTTGGACCATTTGAACAAGTAAGAATTCAGTAAGAAAATATTTTCTTAATAACCTAGATTGCTACATTTTCCCCCGTAGCAATTAACAAAGTACAAGGTAATTTAAAAGAAAAAAGACCAGCTCCTTTACCCTGCATCTCTTTTTCTCCTCTTCTCTCTGTTGTCTGGCCTGCAAGTAATCCTTCAATATCGACACCAATCTTGCCTGCAAAAAATATCAAAACACGTACATACACACATAGTTAGAGAAAGAATACTGTAGAAAACATCTGTGAAACACTCAGCACCGAAACTAAATAGCTTACCCCATCATAAAGAAATAGCATCTTCTTCTCTTCTTCCCAGGCAAGAGTTTTACTAATCAGATTGTCAACCATTGCTATAAAACAGTAAATTATTAGCTCCGAAAGGCAGTGAAGACTAAATTACTAAACAGAGAATGATAGAATGAAATACCTGGAATTTTGTTAACTGTCACTCGAGCTCTTTCTGCACGTTTAAGATTAATGTGTGCACCTCTCCCAGCATTGTATCGGTTACTGTCCTGGTATCCATTAAAAAAAAAGAAAAAAAAAGAAAAAAAATCTCTTAAGGTTGATGGGGTAGGTGCTCCAGTAGTAAATAGTATCACAGTGGGTTGTCATTTACTTATTTATGGTTCATTATTTGCATTGAACTTGACTTCTTATCATGCTAAACAGTTAAACAAAGAGAAGTAAAAAATAAAACTTCCCCTACTCTAAAACAGCTTGCTACTGGATTAAAGGAATAGTCCATTATCTGCATTAGCATTAAACCCAGAGCATGCGACATGTTAAATACAAACCCCGAGCAATAGGGAGTGAAGGGAGATGAAAAACAAAGATCCTCTTATTTCCAGTCTTATCATCATATGTTGATATGCCATATAGTAGATGGTTTCAAGCTTACTTGACTATACTCTTCAAGCCAGTTTTCCTCCTCACAAGCTGAAAGCCACCGGTCAATTCTATCCATGACTTCTTTTCGGCTCATAGCTTCTTCTTTAACTTTGACTATCTGGGCCTCAATATTTGCCAATAATTCAGAAGGATCCACCAATCCTGAAAGTAACGGCAAAATTTGTTATTCAATAATTCCTTTGCAAACTAAATTAATATAAACCATTAAAAGCTAGCCAAAAAAAAAAATGAGAAAGTAAGAATATTTATACCAGAATCTATCAATGCATTTGATTTCTCAGCAGCAGTACTTGTATCTGGCTCAATATGAGTCATTCTGCATATTTCCTCCAGTTCTGATCTCCGTTTCATAACAAGTTCTTTCATTCTGCTAGCTTTTAGTTTAGTAAGCCTCTCCACTTCTGCTGATGCCTGCCAAAAGGACAAGTAAGTCCATGAAGCTGCTCTTGAATCACTAAAACAAAAAATAAAAAATAATAAAAAAAAAAAAAATACACAAGTTCAGGGAGATACAAACCTGTTCAATTATATCTGTTGTGAGTACACCTGGTTCAATGATTTCAGATTCAGAAGATCCAAGGATACAAGTAATTCTTGAGAAGCTATTTTTCTCCTCTTTTGGTGAGTCCATCAGATTCCAAAGTTCAAATAATGATGCCACAATATCTTTCAGCTGGATTCCAAACAGAGGTTTACTAAACACGAGAAGGAAAAACAACAGTAAAGCTAAAATGTTATCAGCATTACCTTCTGGATCCGTGCTTTTCTTTCTAACTTCAACTTGATAATGGATTGTTCTAGACCTTCTAGAGTGCTATTACTTATATTTGTCAATTGTTCTTGGTTTTCTTTATGCAAGCTTGGGTGAACATCACTGACCGTCTGCCCAAAATCCAACCCAAGCACACCACAGAGAGTATGCACTTCGTTCACATATTCAAAGACCTTATGAAGACGATCAGACTGCAGCATAATGAACCATACTCGTAAATTATCAGCATATAATAATAAAATAACAAATTTATCCAACAGCCACCCTAAGTGTTAAAGATGCTGATAAAGTTCAACAAAAGTATAAAAATACTATAACATCTGATTGCAGGTAAACATTATATGCATATCTAAAATTTGTTTCGTATAACAATCAAGCGGAATTCTTTTCACAAAATCAATCTTAAATGCGAGATAATATCAATAAAAAAAAAAAAAATCATGCAAAAATTTTCAGCTTTTCATGTTAAGTAAAGGTTGCATTCTTCAGGAAGCAGTAACAAGTTGACCATCCAAGGGAAATTTGTCAGCAAATCTATAAATGACACCACCCATTAAGTCGTTCATGGATTGTTGAAAACTTGTGTCCATATTATTAATCACAACTGCCCCCACTATAATGTGATTATATATTGCTACCAAAGTTAATTATGCAGATTAATTATATCCAATAATTCAAGATGCGATAAAGCACATGTAAGTCTACTCTAGCATCTGGGAACTTTAGCAACAATATATAAAAATTTGCATACCTTCTCCTTTTGAAGGGTGTGAAGATGTGTTTGATATTCATTAAGCTTTCTTATAGACAAATCTTGCTCATCCAGGGTTAAAGAACTCATCAGAGAATTGTTGAGATGGTTGTATCCGGAAATTTCCCCACTGATCTTTTCAATTTGTGCCTTTATATCCGTAAATTGCTTCATTCGTTCCTCTTTCTTCATCCTCAGATCTTCCACCAGTGGTGTAACACATGCAAGTTTCTCTTTTAGTGATGGTGCCCTCTTCTCTGTCTTTGTCTGAAAATTTATGAAATGAGAGTAGCATAAATAAGTGGTCACTCAAAGAAATGTCTTTCACCATGAACAACAATAAGATTGGTCATGAATGAGGTCAAATATAAACCAACATGTCATACAACTATTTAACAACTGCATAAAGGGTGTAATTTAAGGGGAAAAAATAGCACTGACATTCTTTTATAGTAACCTAGGGATAACAAAGACAACTGACAAGTAGAAATATGGACTAGTAACAGGGACAAAACTAGCTTGCACCCATGAGGAGTCCAATTCTGGTCCCAAAAAAAGGCGTTATAGCTTACACTTAAAGTGAAGGGCAAAATGAAAAAAACATAAAAAGTAATCAATGACTAAGATAAGCATAATGGAGAAATGGAACAATATAATAATAGAGATTCAGGAATAACACAGCACAATAAAAAAATAAACATGACCATGATTGATTGTGGCAAGGAGAACTTACTGGTGAATGGATGTTAAGTTCCCCAAGGGCAGCCATGAGCGTTGCAAGCTCTGCCTCCTTAGCTGCAACAGACTGATGAAGGCGTACTTTGGCATTGGCAGCTTCCTCAACCTTTCTACGATAAACTTCCAAGCACTCCCTCTCCAACTCCAAAAGCATACGGTCTTTATCTGCTTCACTCTCACCAATGTCATTCCAAATTTGCTGCTCTCGAAACAAGAAGAAAATCAAAACGTGAAATATCTTCAATAAATTTTGCAAAGACCGAGTCACCCATTGAACATCTAACCATGCCCCCCACCCAACCTAATTCTCATGAAATATTACTCCTCAATCAGAATTTGCAACTATGGGAGGAAACGTGAACAGTGCATCGTTTTCAATTTTTCAGAGAAACCATAAAAGCTAGGAACAATAATTTCACAATGAAACAGAATACAATGTTGAGCAAATTGAACCCAAAGCCTCAACAATCAACTCCTAAGGATAAATTGCAGCTTTCAAAAATGAAAAGGCTAAAATGGGGAAATTTTAGTCTCCCACTGGAATTAACCAAAATTTTACAAAACCACACTGTACACAGTTCCACTTTAACACCCATAAAACCAATGAATTTGGAGGATACCCACTAAACTTCAACAACCACCGGTTGAATTACCAACTATAGCATAGCACAAATGAATTGCGAAACGCACATCAATACAACACACGAAATCAATCAAAATAAAGTTGATAAACAATCAAAACGAGGAAGAGAAGGAAAATTGGACAATTTTATTTCGACATGTAGTAAAAAAAAATGTTTCCACAAATTACAAAAATAAAAAGAACGTTTTAAACTCGAATCTCTAGTGAACAGATCACCGTTAAGACTCAAAAGGTTAAAAAGACCCAATCCGTAGCTCCCATAGACCCATTATGTTATAATAAAGTAACAATCAATGCTGTCTTTAACGGAGCAAAACAATAAACTTTCTCCAAAATCCATCATTACTTGTATAAAAGTAAATTTCCAAGAAGAGGAAAAGAAACCACATATTTTCTTTCTGACCAAACATCAGACTTTGCCAACAGCGAGAAACATCCCCAAAATAGAGAGAGGCAAAAAAGAGATAAAGAAAAAAAAAAAAGAGTAAAAGGAAGAGAGAAAGACCTGAAGCTCTCTAAGTAAAGCATTGCAAGTAGTGCTCGTACGCACACTAATAGTCGGGCTCCCAATAGCCAGCATTTCCACTTCTGCTTTCTTCCTCCTCTCTATCTCCAAAAATTTAAGCAAGAAACTCAAAAACAAAGCTCAAGGGACGAGCCAAAAAAACCCAAAAGTAAAAAAACAGAAGTTTCAAGGAAAAAAAAAAAAACAAGCCCCAAAACAAAGAACTAGAAAGAAGAATAAGGTAAAGAAGCAAGTGGGTTTTTGCTAAAAAGTCATAAAGAAACCAAGAAACTAAGAGACATTGGTTGAAACTACCTTAGCTTCCTCAGATCTGAACCTCAAATAACACCAACCCTCTTCTCTCTCTCCCCTTTCAATTCTTTAAATTGTTTATCCAAAATTAAATTAAAAAGAAAGAAAAGCAAGAGACCAAGAGGATCTCAAGAGTTAAAGTTACTCAGGGAGAAAAAAAGACAATGATTGGCAATTAAAAAAAAAGAAAATGAAAACCACAATAAAAGAAAGAGGACCCCCAACCCCAACTCTAGTTAAAGAAACAGAGAGGGAGCTAATGTGAGTTTTAGGAAGTTAAACTAAAATGCACCAAAAACAATTTAGCCAGTAACTGACACAATAAAGGGATCTGCGCACATTAGCATCCAAAAATTTCATTTCTAGGGTTCTCTTCTCTTCCTGATCAGAGTGAAGCAGTGAGACTATGGAGTTGAAAAAGGACAGACAGTGTAGAATAATAAAAAAAGTATATCTGAAAGAAAAATTATTTTTAAATGGAGGAGCAATTAGCAATTAGAACAGTCCAATTAGGAATGGAGCGTGTAATTCACGCGTTATATAAAAGCGTGGTATAGGATGGTAGTTTAGCTCACTGACTCAAGTAGCTGTCTTGATGTCCAAGCTCAGAAAAGAGAATTGCTTTATACTACAGCAGCATCACCATTATAGCAATGGTGAGCTTTTAGTTCTACTTTTTATTTATTTATTAAATTTCCTTTATGTATTTTTGTTTTTTGTAGTTTTAAAGGAAAGCATTTCTTTTCTTTTTTAACTTTTTGTGTATGAAGTTGGTCAATTGCCTTTGCTTTTTGTTTTTCATTCTTTTGGATAATTACTTGTACAGACAGCAAGCTATGTAATTAGTAATAATAATAAGGAAAAGGAGAAAAAAATTGTATTAAAGATAATTCTTATGTTGTGATTTAATGATTTTGCTATTTGTATGACATAATAGATATTGTTGTCATAACTTTTAGTTTTTTCATAATTTTCCTTATATGGAAACCTAAGAGTAGAAGATTTATTATATAAAGGATGTATCATATTAAATTTTTATTTTCTAATTAGTCTTTTTATTTTCAATTTATAAGTTAATTTAAAAATAAGTAGTTAAGTGTTTTGTAAAACTATCTAAATTGGTATTAAGTAATTTAATTATTTGGTTAGTATAGTATGACCATAATTAATATTTGTATGGTCATAACTTTTAGTTTTTTTCTTAATATTTCCTTATATGCGAAAACCTAAGAAGCAGCTAGAAGATTTAATTATGAATAAAGGATGTATCATATTAAATTTTTATCTTTTCTACATTAGTCTTTTTATTTTCAATTTATAAGTTAATTTAAAAATAAGTAGTTAATTGTTTTGTTTCTAATTAGTCTTTTTATTTTCAATTTATAAGTTAATTTAAAAATAAGTAGTTAAGTGTTTTGTAAAACTATCTAAATTGGTATTAAGTAATTTAATTATTTGGTTAGTATAATGTGGGAGTAATTTAATTTATCATAATTGCCAAAGATGTGATAATGACTCATTAGAAAGTTGATAAAGAGGGTGAAGTTTGAAAATTTTAAATTTTGTTGATTTAATCTTATTGTAGCAGGACTTTAATCTAGCTAAAATTCGATTTTAATGCATTTACTTTACTTATTCATTCTACAATTCGGAATATTTTACAATTTTGATGATTCTACAATTACCTTCTGATATATTGATTCTACAATGTAGAGGGAGCCTTCATAAACTTCTTTTTGACAATGGCACTAAGTACTCAACTAATTAAGGTAGGCCCACTATTCTCCATGACATTACCCTAAATTAGGGTAATTTGACTTTGGATAATTACTTAATTGTTAGCATTATGTAGATCACATGCAATTCTAAAGTTGAAGTGCAAGTCCTCTCCAAATTAATGGGATGTGATCATTATTTACTAATATGTTTTTATATATAACTTCCTATCAATATTATATTCAAAATGATATATAACTAATAGTGTAAAATATTATTTCTTGGGTTGATCTCTTTAATTTTTTTTTAAAAAAAGGTTTAATTAATAAATTGTTGAATTCCTCAATTATCTATTAGGAAGCAATAAAATATTCTAATTGAACAACAATTAGGGCACATCCATCATCCATCATGCATGTATATATCCCACATGTCATTATTGATTGATTAATATATTTGATTGACGTATGTGATCTACCTCCACCACAACAACACAACATTATCTCCATCCATCGATTGTATAATTATTGAGACAATGATGATTATTAGATAGGTGGATTAGGTTGCAGAATTTATTTATTTTTTTAATATAATATATAGTAAAAGTAACTGCAAAATGATTCTTAGAAGCAAATTTATTTTTTTATACATAAAAATTTAATATATATATATAGTAAAAGTAACCTGCAAAATGATTTCTTAGAAGCAAATTTATTTTTGCTGACATATACATTAAAAAATTTAAATATATATATATCATATTATATAGTATATATATATACAGACATTTTTATATTTAACTGAAATTAATAAAAGAGCTGCTGAGAAATTCAAACGATATACAGGCATTTTGAAAGAACTAAGCGTGTAAGACCAAGGGGACAAAGAAACTATAATTCCATAGTGGCCATAGTAAGCATTAACTTCATCGGGCCCCATATTATTTTCAATATTATTCATAATATATATATATACAGACATTTTTTATATACTGAAATTAATAAAAGAGCTGCTGAAAATTCAAACGATATACAGGCATTTTGAAAACTAAGGGGTAAGACAAGGACAAAGGAACTATAATTCAATAGTTGGCCATAGTAAGCATAATTCATGGGCCCCAATATTATTTTCAATATTAATCATAACAATCATAGAAAAAAAGATGCCATCTTTGATTAGATCAGTGCCAAGGAAAATTTCAGATGGGTCCTCATTTGTTATCTTTTCTATATAACCAATCGTTTGAGAAGGGATATTGGAATATAGGATTAAGTATCTAGAAACGCTTTAATTACTGTTCTTCCTACCACCTAATCATCCATCAACTTCTATCCTAACATAATACTTAATGTATATATGCCAACCACTTTTATTTTCTTTGGAGATATGATTATACAATAAAATTTTAAAAAGGAATTAATGAAGATTACAAGTGCATAAATAGGAATAACAGAATAAATATAAGTCATTTTTTTATCCACAAATATAAGTTATTTTAAAAATATTAAAGAGTGATTAATTAATTGTTATGTGAGATAGAGTAATTTAATCAAATTAATGATTTTTTTTTATAATTTAAAAAAATTAATTACTTTATTAATTACCGTATAACACACTTTAAACATTTATATTTGTGGACGGAAGGTGTAATTATTAAAGCTCTTGAATGTTGAAAAAGATGATATCAATGAAGAATGTATTAATGTATGCACAAACAATATGATCATTATTAAGAAGAATTTTGTAAAGTCACTTTGTGAATAATGTCAATGTTACAAGTTTCAATATCTTGGGCATTACCTGGTATCAAAAAATGTGCAACTCATAAGATTTTGGCATCATTTTATAATTATTGTATATACAAGGTAGTGTCTTGTTATCCTTTCCTTTCATATTAAAAAGGTATTATCATGTTAGTACTTAGGCATTGGAGTCTTTCAACCAAACCAAAAGAGAAAATTTGTCTTCCAAGTCATGGAAAAGTAGAAATTCAGCAATTCAACCAAAGATATGATTAAAAAAAAAAAAATCGATTTAATGCATGAAACATCTAATATTTGTGTTGACATAAATTTCAGACTCGTCTATTGTATAATATCATGTTATACGATATGATTGAATTAAAAAAAAAATAATTTGCAAATAAATACCTTAATTTTGACAATCCAGTTGTAGATGTGAAAAGGATAATGTTGGACAAGGGCTTATCTATAGAAGATACATTGTCCACATAAGAAGTGAACCCCTGTGTAGTGTGTACGTACCAACCTGACCTTTGCCTTTAGTGGGAGGAGAAAAGTAGTTCGAATTTCCGACCAAGTAGATGTGGGGTTGGTTTGGTTATTATTAGCCGATACAGTTAAAAGATATTTGACCTTAAACAAAAACAACACATTAGCTGGTTTTGTTTAACCTTAAATCTTAATTAATTAACGTCCCTTAAATGTGATGATTAGTGAATTTATAAGATAAGCAAATGTCGCGTTGTAACTACTTAATTGTACGCTAGAAAATGAGTGTTTACACATAACAATAAGTTCAATTGGTACATTTGTACTGTATTTGTTCGGTTAATTTTGATATTTTTTTAACCTTTTTATTTTCACTTAATTTTATCCTTGTTTAGTTAAATACTTTTTTTAAGATTTAAGATGATTTAATCATTCTTAAATTATTATGAAAGGCCAAAAAGTGTTAAAATTAACAGATTTTTATTTCTAACTTTAAAAAAGAAAAAAACATTATTTGTCAAAGTTTATATATATATATATATATTCCCATTGAACTAATATGAGGAATGTTTGGAGAATTCAATATTTAAAAATTCTTGTCATATGAGTCATGGATTCAATTGTACATATATTGCCTGGTTAACGATAGACATCCACCTACACCCGAAGTTTTTAAGTCAACCAACAAAAAAGGCAAAAGAATAGAGGGAAAAAATTTTAGGTTTTTTTAAACATATATATGTATTCATATATTAGTGTCGAAACATTTTGTATTTTTCAGAATTGATTAATTAATTTTTATTAATTAGTTAATTAATTAATTAAAAGAAAGAGAGAATAAAAACATGGGGTGCAAGTAAACAAAAAGAGCACTCATCAAACGATTGTTCACGTATAGGAAGGTTGGGACACCAAAGGAACTAATGGAAACATGCGTTAGTGAATCCTTTTGGTAACCAACTGCGAAGCTTATAAAAAGAGCAAGGGTGCGTTAGTGAATTCTTTTAGTAACCACCTGCGAAGCTTATAAAAATAACAAAGGAACCTCAAAAAAGGCACAACCAAATTCTCCGATGAACTCAACAATCAATCAAATTCTCCAACGAGTCAATCAATTTAATTTTCAAAGCATTATCTTTATTTCTCCTAAGATCAGTTTATTTACACTTTCTGTAACTACAAGCTTTTATTTCAATACAAGTAATCAAATTCAATTTATTTTTTCAATTAATCAAACTCTCTTTATAATTTTCTCTACTCAAATTTACTTTAATTGCACAATTGATAAAGCGTTTGTCGTGGATTCAACCCACGGTCTAGAAGTCAGATCAAATCCATTTTAATTCCTTAATTGGTGTACTTCACACACCTAACACGCCCATAATTAATTCACAAATTAAGTTGCCAGCGAATCATTGCTTTTTTCTCAAAAAGAAAAAAACCAACAGTTAGTTTTTGATGTATGTTTGTACTTTCAAATTAATTCAATAGACCTTTTAGTATTGAAAACTTTTAACTTTGCAAAATTGCAGAACAAATTTATAAAATTTTCGATATCAAGATATTCTATTCATTATTCAAATAAGTGAAATAATTTATACATCTTTTAACATAAGTTATTAAATAACAATTTTTACAATTATTATATATTTTATAAGCATTTAATAAATATAATTTTTATAAGTTGAAGTGTTTAAAATGTTCTATAAGTATAATTTTACAAATTAAAATATAATAAATCGATATAAAAATTGAAAGTGCCAGTAATTCTATAAAATTGAAGAGTCGATCTGTACATTTAGCCAAATAAATATGACAATCATATGATCTCATTTATGTCCATATTCATACTTCATAGCTTTAAGTCTATATTCCTGCTGCATAGCTTCAGGATTGACATTGTTTAATGTCAAAAATTGAAACTAGATAGGGATAAAGTCATTTATATTTTTCACTAATGAGATTGCTAAATTGCCATACACTTTAGGAAAAAACTTTTGAAAGTTACCCTCAGAATAATCACCTAATAATATCGAGATTGGAGATTTAATTCTTAATATATCCTTCTCCTTTCAAAAATTTCTCTTTTTTTTTTTTTTTTTTTTTTTTTTTTTTCACTAATGAGATGCTAAATTGCCATACAGCCTTAGGAAAAAAACTTTTTGAAAGTTACCCTCATGGAATACATCACCTAATAATATCGCATGATGGAGAAATTTAATTCTTAATTAATCCTTCTTCCCTTTCAAAAATTTCTCTTTTATTTTTTTTTTTTTTTTTTATGTCCACTTTATAAATAAGATTTCTCTTTTTAAAAGATAAAATTAAATAATGCTTTTGGGAGCTGAAAGTTGGTGCTTTCTTGACACAGACAATAAGTAAAGATATCTATGAGAAACGAATTCAAGAGTCCACCCCCTGTTGGTGGGACCTTACAAAACATCACATGTCGCGTGCAGCAGACTCGTGTCTTTACCATTTTGATTCTACATGTTTATACATATATACATTTATCTATTATATGGAGAGAGATTGGCAGAATAAAATTTCACCTCCAACTAGACAAGAAAACTGTAACAAGATCAACCCTCGGCAAACGGCTTTGCAACCCCACTAGAGGCTGGACCCAAATTCTCTCAATTACCGTGTATCAATATGCTAAAACTGTTTATAAAAGAAAACGTCACTCATTGAAAAAAAATAATAAAAAAAAAACATTACCATTCGGAATTTTTTTTTTTTTTTTTTTTTTTTTTTTATGTCCACTTTATAAAGATTTCTCTTTTAAAATAAATTAAATAATGCCTTTTGGGAGCTGGAAGTTGTGCTTTCTTGACACAGACAATAAAAGTAAGATATCTGAGAACGAATCAAGAGTCCACCCCCGTGTGGTGGACCTTACAGAAACATACATGTCGGTGCAGAGACTCGTGTCTACCATTTTGATTCTACATGTATACATATATACATTATCTATATATGGAGAGAGATGCAGAATAAATTCACCTCAACTAGAAAGAAACTCGTACAAGATCAACCCTCGGCAAAGCTTGAACCCCACTAGAGGCTGGACCCAAATTCTCTCAATACCGTGTATCATATGTAACTGTTTATAAAAGAAAACGTCATCATTGAAAAAAAAAAAAAAAAACATTACATGAATATTCATTTTAATTGTGAATTCTTTGAGATTTAGACTAACATATATTCACTTACTAAGATTTGGCTTGCGGAAAAATCTCATTTAATAATGTGTTGAAATGCGAGTAAAAGGACATTTGAACAAAAAGCATGCTAAAAAAACAAAAAACAGGACCATGTGAAATTGGAAAGACTTGGCATGGCTGGATATAAGTTGACTCTGCTCCATTCTTCACTTGTTATATTGGAGTTGGAGTCCTCAATTATAAGTCTGGCCCTCTAAAATCATATCACCCCAAGATAATAGAATAATCAGAGATCAACCACTTGTATCCAAACCTTTTTTTTTCTTCTTGGCCACTAATTTCTCCAAGCTCCATTATCGGAATCCAAAGGGACATTAAATGTCTGCATTTCCCTTTCTTTTTTCCCCCTCCAATAGAATCCACTGTAAAAAGCTCACTAAAAAGAGTACAACTTTAATTCCCATTAGAAATTAATTGCGCTTGTGCTTGACCATCAAAAGCCACAAATATGTTTGAAAAATAACTTCTTGATTTAGAAAAATTAAGGTCCCATCATCTTTTCCACAAATTGTGTCTTCTATGTCCCTCTTTTACAAAACATAAGAAACACATAATCTGTAAGCTTTAATTTGCCTTGCAAAGGTTAATTCAAGTGTTCACTTAATCATTGGACCAGTAGTCCTAACAGTAAAGGTCAATGATCTATTTTACAATGCATGAGATTTAAAAGTTTTAACCCTTCAGAATATCCTCCATTTAAAAAAAAAATTATATTTTTAATGGAGTTGAAGACACACCTGAAATCAATGTCTTCTGTTGCAATATTTTGTATTTGGCAAACATCAAGGCTCGAACACATGCTTAAGAATGTCTCTGACAATTTCTACAACATCCTCTTCTTTGAATGAAGAAACAAACTTCACTGCATCCACCAACAAAACTGTCAATTAATGCTTCCTATCTCTGTTGGAGAATATCATATATCAACCATTCCTGTAAATAAATCAATCAAAATTTTAAAAGTCTTCGCATGCTAACATATTTGATGGCTACTAGGTACTAGCAAATTGTGGAAGTTTCCACACGTGGAGGCTAACACGTATCTACTTCCTGTAATTTAAATGGATAAGGAACAAAACAATTATTCATGGTGGAGTCCACCCAATGTAGTTAAGACAGTAACTCAATCTAGTAAACTACTAGTCATGATGAGTTATTAATTATGATGTATTAGAAAATTTTTAATAAAGATCATTTAGCAAAGACAGATTGATTAGGCTTGTGACTATATTCAAGTTTGGTATGAAAAAAAGATTTTTAGCCAAATAAAACAAACCTTTACAACTACGCCCTTATGACAATTTTTTTTTTCTCAATAAAATATTAGTACAAGTATTATATAATCATTGAACAAATGAATAATCTTCGTTTAATCAATGTTCAATGTTCACACTTCAAACACATGTATATAAGACTCATATCCGTGTCAGTATAGATAGATTGCTAGATATAGAAGCAGGAGAAAAAAGGATAATCAACAAAACAAGAAAAATAGAAAAATAATGCAGGAAGCAAACAACTGAGTACCAGAAAAACACAGACCAATGATAACAATTATTTTAAGTAGAAATACAGGAAGGACCCAACAACTGGGTAGAGTAGGGAGCAAAGCAAGAAGAGCGTCAATCTTCCTTGAAAGTAAGATAACTAAAAATGAGCGACAGTGGGTCCGATTGGAGCCCCACCTTCTATTATGTTATATGATCATCCTGCTAGCATCAAATATCAAATATTAGGTTTGTTCTCATTGGATAAAATACTGATCTATACACAGAGTCACAGACAGCCTGTTGAAGAAATCCCCTCCTACCATCATCACCCACCTTAATCATACAACTCCCGATTCCATATCCATGGTATATTTTCACTCGGTAAATCTTTACATCTTGAGTTTCTGTTTCCATGAAAACATGAAAATTCTATACAGCCTGGCTACTAAATTTACAAAATAGATCTGTTATATCATATTGACTGCTGGGTACTGGTGAAGGGACACCTAAACAGAAACTGCCACAAACCTCACCTACCTATTAAATCAAAGATAAATCCAGTGTGGAAAGAGATCACCTAGTGCAAAAAAAGAGGGGACCATTCAGGACTGGTGGATCATATGGTTTCGGCGATCATTCAAGTCACTTCCTATTGTGTGCATATATCTTAAGCAAAACTTGACTCATTGTATGTTGAAAGCATAAAAAAACACTTGTGGCAGTAATTTGTAGCTATAAAAAATTAATTAAATTACAAAACAACACCGACGAAGATGAAAATGATTCTGTATGTATGGTCTCCAATATGGGAATATAATCACAAACACTAATTAGATAAAATGTACTGATTCAATGCCTGAAATACCCTTGCACGCATGAGAGTATGAAAAATAACATTGTCTTCTCAAGTGTGATTGATTGGTGACCCATCAAATAGAACCGTCCAAAATGAAATGATCTAAAATCTGAATAAGTTATTGTTCTTCAATCTCAAATACGATATGACCTCTACAATATAGATACTCTGGTCGCATTCTCTCTAGTCTGATACAAAGCTTGCACGTCTCCATTGGTATTTTTGTCTCATCAGAGGCTAAATATGATGCATGCACGTGAGACATATGTCATATTGTAAGCAAATAAGTTCACTGTAGGAATCAAAGTACAGAAGATTTGGACCTGTTCATTCATATATTAGTATCAGTATTCCGGTTCACAAGTGGAGAGGTCAATTTAAAGAAAAGAAATTAGGATAGGGGCCCATAAATTTAGGCACTGTGGAATTTGGATACAGCCTGTAGTCCACCAAAGAATTCGAGAAAGCTACATAGAAATTGACAATGAGCTTATACTGATATGGTGTCAGCGGTGATTTTGTATGGATCATGTACAAATTGTACATGGACTACAGTCCACAAGTGCTACAGTGGCGGACCACCAGATCGATGATCTGATATGGCCAGTAGTCAGTAGTCAATCTTTTTGGCTAAAAGATCAAAGATGACTGTATTAAAGAAAAGCAAGTATCCAGTTTGCTAGGGCAAGAAAATTAGAAATTGCTTTGCTCTTGTCTAGCAAGATTTTGGAATATACGACTGAGTGAAGGTCAACGAGTGGTTCAGTGACAGCTAAAAGTGATATGATCAAATATGGGAAGCTTTGATGCTCAAAGCTTCTTTAGCTCCTCCTTTAATTGGTATCATGGCCCAATAACAAAAGCCGGCCTAATTAACATTAGGCATTAGGGCTCAATGTGGGACACAAACTTCGAGCCCAAATGATGTCTAACTGGATAAAGAAAAAATTGCAAATCATCTACTGAACTAGATCTACGTTATCTTCAAATTATGGTACTATACTTAACCTGGCAACGTAATTATTTGAAGACCATTTCTGGGAATCTATAGAGCCAAAAAATACCGGTTGTAGACTTTAAAAAAGATAAAAAAGAAAAGAATGAGGACCAAAACGTATGCACCATATATTTTTTATACAGAGTTAGAGACTTTTTTTTGGCAAATATCTTGTCCAGGACAGAACATTCCGTAGGTTTGGTTCAGACTGAACCAAATCAACACTAACTGAATAACCAAAAAGCTTTCTAAATAAAAATCAAACCAAACCCATTTTTAAATAGAACGAACCGATTTGGTTCGTTAACTTTAGTTTAGTTTCCCTGATTTTTGGCTTAATAAACATCAAAGCCAATTGAAAAATATTTCAGTTGTTTTCCGTTAAGACTGAAACTGAATCGTATATATTAAAAACTGAACTAAACTCGCTCAGCCCCAAAATTCCTTGAAAGTAAAGCATCACAATGTGCTCCTATTCTGAAACTAGCGCTAGCATAGCCGAGGAATGGAATTGGCTAATTGCTGCACACAAGTAGATCGTTTACAATACCAAAAAAGACAAGATCACAGAAGAGCCATGGTATTCTGCCTTATCACCTCACTCCAATTGTTCCGTCAGGATTTAGGACCACGACAGTAGAAAAGTGTCTTCAATCGAAACAGATGCCTAAAGCATAAGAAGTTTTGAATTGGAAGACTGCTTAGGTTTGCGGATATTACACTGCCTAACTTGTAACTAGCGACGAGGTCTAAATTTCATTTCAGTAAAAGTGCATCCTATAAACAAGCTATAACTTCGAAGTTCAAATCAGCAAGAATGGAGAAAAAGGATCAATATACCCCAACTAAAGGATGCACTAGATTGAATGTTTTATTTTATTTTATTTTTTTTATGTTCAAGCACATCAAAATACCGAACCAAAGTCTACATTGACGTCTATACTCAATGTCTAAGGACACTGAAAAGGAAAGTGAATAGAAATGTTATCAAATTGAGTGCTCTGCCTCCTTGAGGGAAAAGTAGACCAATTAGCCCAAATATTTAGTTGACAGTTACAAAGATGTCTTTGTTTGTTCAATTTTGAAATACAGAAAATAAAACCGGCGCACTTAGAAATGAATCTTACCCCAAGGAAGAACAGGAAATTTCCATCTCTGTTTAGGAACAGCAATAACATATGAAGCAACCTGGAAGAAATTGAAATTTATTACGTCTTGCCAGAGGAACAAGAAGAAGCTATATGTAAACTTTCTCCACCAGAAAATAAAAAGGGGATAAGAAAACATGCCAATGTGGATGCAGCAAGAGAACGAGGAGAACAATAAAGAATTGATGTCTTTTCCTTTTCATAAAGAAGATCCATGATATCCATGCATGCTTCAATATTGACAAATTCCCCAACCTTTGCCACTGCCCTGAACTCAAAAGATACAGAAAACCAAGCACTTGGTTAACACTAGTCAAGCATTTGAACAAACATTAATTAACATCAAACTTGATCTTTTAGACTTTGACATCTTAATTAAAGAAAGTTACCTGAATTGAGCTAGGAGGTCTTCAAGGAAAGCAAAAGCAATATTTCCAGCACCAATCTCATAATTCAGAACCTTAAAAACTCCAATATTTTAACCATCTGATTTGAAATTAAAGTTGCACAAGAAACCTCAATAATTCTATAGGATTTACCTGCAAGAAGAGCACCTCCTGTACAATGGCCTAGTTAACCACTCAAGTAAATGACAATTAAGAGAAAACAAATCCTTAAAGCTTAATAGAGGATAACTAGTTTACCGCTTCCAAGAAGTCTCGGGATGTAAAATGTTGTTCTCTAATGCTCTTGTCACTCAAGTTCTTCAACATTTTGACAGAAAAAGGACGAGAATCATGTATCTAATAAACAAGATTGATATGGTTACTAATACGCAAGGCTCGAGGACAACGAAATTCAAAGCCGTAGTGACTTGCTCACTTTGCTGGAAATCCACATAGAAACGAGTGCAAATAACTGCAGATTGCTCTCTGTTAAGGGATGCAAAAGCCAGTTTCCCTTGTCGTGTTGGCCTACGAACCTTTACAGGTAAATGCAGAGAAATTACCAATAAATCTAAATCCCCAATTCAAAAATGAAGTACAAAAACAACATCAACAATCATAGAAGAAGTATAATTGGCCAAATATAATGATTCCTGGAAATTTTCCCTTATTAACAAATTAAACCTGATAAATTCACCATTATTTCGCATAATTCACCTTAAACTTCAAAATAAATTGTAGATATAAATCTTTATAACAAAATAGTACCTGGAGAGAGAAGGATGGAATCGATCAGCAAATAGGGATAATGCGGTGTATTTGACGATTGGAGTAACTTTTAGTTGCTACGATTTCAAATTTTTAGCCATCAAAAAACTCAAATACGTAAATTGTAGAGTGAACAAAAATTGAAAATACGAGTATTTGATGTTTATACTGACATGAGCAGATTCAATAAGGAATTCCACAGCTAACAGGCGAAGATTGGAAGAGCGGTCGTTGTTCTTCCACATCTTCTCTTTCAAGCCGAAAACGAACCAACACAATGTGAGCTGTGGACTTCGAAATTTGGATGATGGCTTTTTAGCGGGAGTTCTTTGAATTTGTTATTAGAGTCGCGGACTTGGGCTCTCCTAGTTTGATCTGCTAACACGTTGGATTTGATAAGGGGCTTCCTTTGATTGGATTATACATATTAAACGAAATTTCTTCCTGTCGTTTGGTTCCTGAGTTATCCTTATCTTTCGCAAACGACGAGGGTATCAAAATTACAGGCCGTTTTCTATAACATTTTATACGTTACTTAATAGAAGATTTATTTTGTCTAAATTGACTTCTCGACTCAAACTATATTTTCAATGTCAATCACATTAATGATTGATACCAACAAGTGTTGTAATCAATAGTTGAAACTCTTCTCTTCTAAGTGAAGTGAGAGTTTAATAGACTAAATATTAATCGAATGATAGAGTAAATACTCAGTGAAATATTTGATTCTTAATAAATTGATTCAGCACTTGATTAATCTTAGCTCGATGAATTGAAATGGGAGCAACATGTGCTAAAAATCGCTCAATCTATTGTTAAATTTTTAACATATCAAGTCATAAAATTATTAATAATTATTTTGTATTACTATAAAGTTATAAATAATTACTTCTCTTTATACCATTTATCAGTAAACTTAAAAGTATTTAATTAAGATGAAGTTCATGTCATTTTCTTATGCGGGAAAAATGAAAATATCGTTTATAAATGATAGAGATTCCATTATTACATTAATCACATGCTATTTTACTTCTTCACCACCCTCAATTTGAATTGCTAACAGGACAACTCCCAGTGAAAATTATAAATTTTATTTTCATTAATAATATGATATTCAACAATAAATATATGTCTAAACAATATATTTTAAATTATATAAATATAAAAAAAAATTCTCAAAAAAAAAATAAATGAAGTGTAATAGTATTAAGTGATTGAGTTCAGGAGATAAAATCATTTCAAGCACCAACAAAACCATAAGCGCCCATATTTCAAAGAGAGATGGACGGGTTATTCGAATTTTAGAGTTGAATTGAAAGCTAAAAACAGACATAAATTTATCCAGAATAATAAATTGTCTTCATTATTGCAAGGGTTGAGAAGGAATCAAGGGTTCATGGCCCCAAAAGTTTACATCAATTAAGAATTTAAGACCCACTCAATTGATTGTTTGTCTTGTATTCTCTGTTTATACATTTTTATTTCTTTATTTTCTTAATTAAGGCTTATTGGTTGAGATTAGAATATCAATTAGATTCTTAAACTGCACTAATCATTGGAATTTGGATGTAATTAACCGGCCAGTCACATGCATGTATGGAGGTTAGCATACCACACCCTAATTGGAAGCATTAGATTGGTCAATTAATTTTGGAAGATAGTTATTAGATAAAAAAAAAAATCATTTAATTTAATTATAATAATTAATCTCACCATCTGATAATACTATAATAATCCATTGAAAATGAAGAGGATGACTAAGACAACTCCTTCCCCACAGAAAAACATGGAGAACAAGAAAACCACCACTACTGTACACTCATCACCATAATTACTTATTAATTGTTTAATTTTCTTTTTCTTACCCTTCTGTATATATATATATTTTTAATTTAATTAATTATACATTACACAACTCTATATATTAATTTATATTTTGAAGCTTAATCTGTTTTGACATAGAAACTTGTCGGCGGATGAAATCTCAAGCTTGTTTGTTAATTGATCAAACCTCTCCGATAGGAAGAATTGTTGAAGTTCTTTCAATGTCTGTAATTCTTCAACTTCAGCTGAAAAGATTGCCTTCACCGGTCTATGATCGGAAAAATCTGCTTCACCTCTGGCATATAAATTTTGCTTTAATCCCTCCCCGTACCAAATAATCCGGTCACACCTATATCGAGTAATTAAAATGTTAAAATATATTTATACTATGCTGTTCATCAATGAATTATCAATTTTCTTTTCCTTTTTTTTTTTTTCTTCTAAATGTCAATACCATGCCGGAGCACGCCATTTTTCGCCTTTTTTGCCTTCTACACATCCGAAGTACACATTAGAATTCGGAAAATATTTGTAAGTCGGAGCAAATTTAATCGTTCCTTCATGCCATCCTTCAAATGCTTGACCACTCATGAGCTCCATCTTTAGCTTCATTTCAATTAAAAAAAAAAAGAAAAATATATAAATACGAATTTTAATCCAATTATCAATTATTATATATAACTTAGTAAATATTATTATACCTGATCATTTTCTAATAAGGTATTCCATTCCTTTCTATCTACCAACGATCGAGTAGTTGCTTCTGGCAGCGAAATTCTATAATTCAAATCTCCAAGCAAGATTACACGGCTGCACCAATTCAAAAAAGATTAGCATATATACATCACCAAGTATGCTTTTTCTCTTTAATTAACAGGATAATATATGCTAACATTTTGTATATATTAATCCAAGTAGCCTTTTATGGCTTAAAAAAATTTTTGGACTTTGTTTATTTTAAAAAGTGCAACTTGATATAAACAAGTAAAGACAGGTTTACCAAGCTTGGAAAATCATCCCTTTCAGACGGTTTAAGCTACCCACTATTTCAAAAAACATACCTTGTTTTCAATTCTTTCAACAACTACTTAATTTATATTTAATTATAGAAGGTCATTAGCATAATATAATTAATCATTAAAAAAATTAATTGGAGTCCCTAAGTCGACAACTTCAAAGTTAAAACTACCAAATAATTAAATATTATTAATTATTAATCTCATTAGTTTATTGTAATAGCGATGTGTTATATCCATGGTTAGTAGTGAGACCAACTGTTGAATAATCATTGATTAAGAAGGTATATTAACATAATAACAAATTGGTTTTGGACGGTTTCAACTTGCAAATAATCAACAAAAATATTAATATATATTATAATTCTAATTAATTATTGTAATTAGTAATTAATTTTTCACATACTCATGATCTAGTATTTTTCGCGGCAAGTCAAGTGAAGGCCCTCTAGGGAATGTTGTTCGCGATAAGATTTCCGACACATCAGAGTTTCTATGTTTCTCATCTCCTTCTCTACCTCCTGATGCTAGATGACTGCAAACAAAGCAGAAGCTAGTTCCTTGTAACTGAAATCTAACTGACACTGAACCCTGCAAATTAAACCATAATTAAACAATAATTAGCATCAAAATTACTCTATGTTTTGTCTAATTTATTTAAAATGGCATATATATAGTCATAAATTACTATCTGATCATAATCATCTTCCTCAAGTACGTGAAATTATGTGGCTGTGCATGTGGACACAAATATGACCTAGTGCAATTATAGCTTAATCATGGATTAGGGTATTATATAAATTGTTAATTAATATTATTACCTTATTTCCTAGGCAACCCATGATGCCACAGCCAACACAGGAGACACTAGGATGTCTTATATAAGGAAGAAGATCGCTTCGAACCCAAACCGATATTAGTATTCCAACCATTTGCTTGCTAATGATACATCTAAATTCTTGAGGTGTATTGCTTCTTTGAATTGCCAGATCATCGTCGTCTTTAATCGGAGACACTATTAGGTTTTTTCTTTTCTCTTGAGGAGGATGATGATGGTTAATCTTTTTGTTCAAAGCTTTTCGAATCAATGAATTCCATTTCATTGAAATCTTGCTATTTTCTGAACCAAGAATATTCGATGCTTTTAGAGGCACAATCTCTTGAAACCTGTTTATAATTATTATTATATGTTAAGAAAATCAATATAACTTAATTATTTCTCCATTATGAACATATATTCTAATTTATAATACGTACCCAAGGACATATATGTCACAAATATTTGGAGTATCTAGCCAATCCTCCATATCCAAATCCTCATTTGGTGCAATTCCACCAACATTCCACGTGCTAACGAAAACCCTTCACAAAGAAATATTTATGAATTTATACATTGTAGTTGCATAATTGATCAAATTAGAGTTTGTTTGGCATATTAATATTGAAAATATAAATACAAATATTATTTCACAATTTAAAAATTTTTGAGATTAAAACACTTAAACGATATTTTTAATGTACCAATCGTAAACAGAGTCTTAATACACTTACTTGTAGTTATTCAGTGAGTCTCGTTGATGATTAAGGATGGTGTCAGCGCTCAAAGAAGGTTGACCCATGTTTTGAATAGCAAGCAAATTGTTACGTTCTGTGTTGCTTGGAAAATCAGCAACAAAGTTGTTACTTGCCAATCTCTTTCTCAAAATCTTGTTAGCTACCAATCTTGGCCAGATCACCTATACATATATACATATATAAATAATATATTCTAAAGTGACATGTATATGTTTATATATATGCATGGCAAAAGAAATGAAGAAAGAAAGAGATCTTAGAAAGTACTTCTCCGTGGTCTGCTCCGCCTGGCATGGTGATAACATAAACAGAGAGAGAGAGAGAAGGAGGGGAGGGGAGAGGTTGAAGAAGAAGATCAAAGAAGAAGATGAGTAGAGAAAAGGGTTAGATAGAGAATGCCAAAACAGATAAAAAGAAATGGCAGAGAGATAGATAGATAGATAGATAGATATGAGTAATGCAGAGAGAGACTCCTGCAAGTTGGAGGGAAGAAGCACTTACTGTGACGTGGATGATGATGCATTCTATTAATTAATTTTTACCTAATAACTTAAAAGCCTTTTTTCACCAATTAAAACAAGAAAAAAAGAGAAGAGCAAAGAAAGAAAACCCTGGTCTCTTTTCTTCTGTTTTTTAATTTCTCTTTGCAGGCTTTTTTTTTTTTCTTATTTATTTAATATGTGTTTGCGGGTTGGACTGATTTTGATTTGAAAGATATATTTTCAAGATTTGTTTATGGCAGGGGAATGCAAGTGGAGGAGGGATAGGGTCCATATGATTAAAATAAAATAAAAACATAATATCTATTCATCAAATAACTATTGGTGCTTTTTCTGACATGGCAATTTGACAATTTAATTTATATTTTTCTTGTCCTATGTGGTTTTTCTTTTCTTCTCTTTTTTTTTTATCCAATTTAATTTCTATTGTTAGTTTAAGAAGTGGCAAATGCCGAATCCCAATAGCTTTTGGTGTTTAGATACGAATCATTTGAAGTTTCCGTGGCTGTAGTTCGTGTTTTGTTTTAATGGAAAAATTATTATTGTATTCTTATATTTTTTTAAATATATAGTTTTTTTTTTGAAAAAGATATATATTTTTGTTTTTATATTATATCTCCATTACACTGTTATATTCTTCAGTTAATTTTTTATATTTTTCAATATTTATATGTATATATATAAATAAATAAACTCAAATATATCATCTATATATTTATAATTTGTGGTGGTGTTATTATTAAATTGTTGTTCTGACAGGGTATAGATTTTTTTTTTTTTTTTTAAAAGTAAAAAAGAGCAAAGAAAGAAACCCTGCGTCTCTTTCTTCTTTTTTTAACTTTCTCTTTGCGAAGGCTTCTCTTTTTTTCTTATTTATTTAATATGTGTTTGACGACCTGCCATAATCGCGGGTTGGACTGATCTTCCTGCATTTGAAAGATATATTTTCAAGATTTGTTTATTGGGGCAGGCGGAATGCTAAGTGGCAGAGAGGGATAGGGGTCCATATGATTAAATAATAAAAATAAAACATAATTATCTATTCCGATCAAGATAACGTATTGGCTGCTTTCTGACATGGCAATTTGACAATTATTAATTTATATTTTTCTTGTCCTATGTGGTTTCTTTTCCTTCTTCTTTTTTTTTTACTCCTCAATTTAATATTCCTATTGTTAGTTTTAAGAAGCGGCAAATGGCCGAAATCCCAATAGCTTTTGCGGTTTAGATTACCGGAACTCATTTGAAGTTTTCCTGGCTGCTAGTTTCGTGTGTTTGTTTTTATGGAAAATATTATTGCTATTCTTATATTTTTTTTAAATATATAGTTTTTTTTTTGAAAAAATATATATTTTTGTTTTCTACGTTATTATATCTGCCATACAACTGTCTATATTCTTTCAGTTAAGTTTTTTATATTTTTCGAAATATTTAAGTGTAATATATAAATAAATAACTTCAAATATATCATCTATATATTTTATTAATTTGTGGTTACGGTGTTATTATTAAATGTGTTCTGCACAGGTATAAGATTTTTTTTTTTTTTTTGAAAAGTAAAAACTGGAAAACTCATTGCGAATAAGTTTTTTTTTTTTTTTGAAAAGTAAAAACTGAAAACTTCATTGCATATCATAAATTATTATATGTGTTATTAGCTTACTAAACTAAGTCTAATTTTGCTTGTATTGTATTATTATTTCAACTAATGGATTTGAGATTTTTGATTTTTTATTATTTCAACTAATGGATTGTTGATATCTTTAATCCTTATGAAGCTTTTATGGGTGCCATCAACACAAACAATAAGGGAAGATTATTATATGTCCTCTATTATAGGAAAAATAATCATTTCCTCTTCATTTTTTTAGAAATACATTACTTAATTCTCAATGTTTGCTTCTATAAATGAAATAGTCATTCCACTTATTTTTCTATACTTTTGCATTAGATGTTTTGTAAAAAGATGAAAATATCCTCTTTAATTCATATGAACAGATAATAATATTTGTCTTTAAAATATTTTAATGGAAAAAAATTACAAAAATGATAAAAAGACGAAATAATTGATAGAACCAAATATTAGAAATGAATAGTATATTTTTAAAAAGTAACACGGAATGATTAATTTTAACATAATTAATACAGTAACATAATAATAATTTTCTCATTCAACAATGTTGGAATAATTTTACTCTTCTTTTAATTTAATTTAATTGACGTATTTTTTTTTCTTCCTTCATTGTAAATTAATAACAAAAAGTTTAAATGAAAACACTAAATAATTTAATAAAATTAAATATCAAATATATCAGTGATTTTACCAAATAATGAAATTAGCAATTTTAATCAAATTTCACGACCAATGGATGCACTTTTTTTTATTTTAAAACGCATAATTTTCTGCACTGGCCCATAACCAATCGTCGTTATTTATTCATTGTTTTTCAGCAGAGAAACTAAGCCAGCCTTTTCTTTTGTTTGTATGTATCCATCAGACCAGTAGTACTGCTTCATGCAAATTCTAGGAACTCTCCAGAATTATTGCAAATATAACTTAAGTAACAGTATTTTTTATATTTTAATCAATAAGAATTTGTTCAACAATTTAATTTATTCGTGTTGGGCAAATTATGTTTATATGTCATGATCTATTTTAACACTGTAGAACGTAAATTCGTGGTTAAGCCATAAAAAGAAAAAAACATAATTATATACATATGTCCTCATGTATTTTTTTTTATATATATATATAAATGAGAGTATAATGACACTGGCATAGTATCTAACCTAACCCTAGAGCTAAAAAGGTTTCATATTTTTAATATTTGAAAGTGCAAATATATTATTAATTGATATATTATCTTGAAAGGTGCAAAGATGATTATTAATTGAATATATATATATATATATATATATATATATATATATAATACTATAATATATATACTTTAATATTATATAGTATATATATAAATTAGATATTATATTAACTCCCAACATGATGTATCAAGCTATCATAGTTATATATATAAATAGATATATATTATCCCACATGATGATCAATATCATATTTATTAACCACAAATCAAAATGCAAGTGTATATTTCATTATTTATACTATCCTAATAGGAAAAAGACATTTCTACTCAAAAATGTCGAGCCATAAATAATACATAAAGAATTCCTGCAAGTGGGTTATTTTTTTTTCTCTTGTAAGTGGATAAAAATTTAATTAAAATCAAGTGGGCTTTATTTTAATTGGGATTTTATAATAGGTGGTCCTTAATTTTTCGATAATGACCCAACATTATCAATAAATCAATATTATTGCATTATCAGTATTTTGTATTTTTTTTTTCTAATTTATTTCCAATCAAGTTAGCTTTGAGGAAAATGAAAACGAGATGCAATTTCTTTTAAAGAACATAATGTTAAAAATGCTCGCAAATGTTCATTGTGATGTGCATTCAAAGGAGGGATTTGATTTTAGATATGTATATTTAATTTATTAATTTCTAATTAATTTGTATAAATCAATATTAATATATACATTTATTTTGATTGAAGATCAATTGATATTTAGTGCTTAAAGTCAATATATATGATGTTGCTTAATTAATAATTAGTGATGCGTGACTCTCTTAATTGAAAGTGATTAAAAAACAATTTATAATGTCAGGAAGGAACCATATCCGTAACGAACGAAACTTTTATGCTTCTGTTTGTCCTCATTGTTTATCAATGGAGGTTTTCTTTTTCTTTTCCACGTCTGCATTAATAATGCAGTGCAGGTATTTTATTTAAATGTTAACTATTTAGCTTTAATTATGCCAAAAAGTTAAATTATAAAAAATTAATCAATCATACTCATCCATTACAATATTTTTGTTTCCTTAATATAGGGCATGTTTGGCAATATTAATTATTTTAGTAGTTATTTTTTTTATAAGCAATTTTAGTGGTTGTTAGTTGTTTTATTAACGGTTAGTTTTTAATTTATAACTGTTTATATAGTGGTTTAAATTAAAAGTCTTTAATAAAAATAATTATTTAACTTGAAATGACAAAAAAGAACTTAATTGTTTAATTAGCTGAATTCAGAAGAAAAAACAATTGGTATGACTGTCAACAAAATTTAATTAATCTTTGTGAAACGCTAAATATTAGAGTATTTAATATTTCATAAAAAAGCTCATCCAACCTCTCAAAGCTATTATAAAAGATACGTTATTGAACGGTAAAATTAATATAGAGAGTTTTGACTTAATTAAAAAGTTAAAAGCTAACTAAAAAACTGTTGCTAAATAAGACAGTTTTTATATATTACTCATTCTGCATCTTTTTTTATTTTAAAGTGAATATATTATTTTTTTATTTTATATCATAGAAATAAAATATTTTGAGCAATATTTATTGGGATGTAGTGGTTAAATTCTTTCCCTTTTAGTTAAAGGTCTCAGATTCAAGCGTTAACTATAAAAATTATTACAATAGGAGAGTTGCCTTTCATACGAATCTTGTAGTATTACTCGTAATTCAGTGAACTATCGAAAACCTGTAGTTATAGAGAGAAAAAAAGTTATATATTTTTTTATTAACTATCGATTAAAATCCTCACCAAATAAAATTGACTTAGCTTCTTGAAAATAAACAACTATTAGCTATACGAAATAGTTTATAAATTTATAATGTTAATCATTTCACATGATATGACATGTTATTATACTTAGGAATTATTTGTGGGTAATATATTTTCAAATTAAATAACTAAGATGGTAAAAAAGGTAGCCCATTAAATATATAGGTTTATAATGTTCTAGTGTCATGTTGAAAGTCAACTGACCAAATAAACCGAAGACAGAGAATAGACAGGAAAGAAAGCAATACATAATTTCAAAAAAAAAAAAAAAAATGTCAACGAAGACAAGAGAATTAGGACAGGAAGAGCAATAATAATTTCAAAAAAAAAAAAAAATGTACCTTCTATGCATGCATGAATACATAAACAAAAAAAAAAAAAAAAAAATGTCCTTCATGCATGCATGATTTTTTTATTATTATTATTTTGTCTAACATCCAAGTTTTTATAATAGGAATATATACCTCTCTGCAAATTCAAACAAATTATTTTTTTTTAAAAAATAGCCTTTTCTTTTTTCTAATTTTCCTGCACGATGGGAAATATTTTTTTTCCTCCCATAAATTACTAGATAAATACTTTCTCAATAATCACATTTAATTAAATGATTAAGAGAAATGATACAAAGGATAATTACATAAAGAATCACATGCTAAGATGAGTTAATAAGATCTTTTACTTTTTGTTATATATATAATAATGAGTGTAAAAGAATAATATAAACAAAAAGAATGGTACAAATTTTTAATTGACAAGTGAATGTATTTTCCATTTTAATGTTTATTATTATTCTAGTGTAAAGAAATGAAATAATTTTTTCTTATTTTTTCACACCATTTGAAAAATAAAATATATTTTTTACCTTTTCTTTTAATCTTAATAGTAATTGTTATTTTATCTTTAAAAATTAATTAAATTTAGCTGTATATATTTTATAATAAATCAGATTTAAGGGGTAAGAAAACCGTCGATTCAGTTATTTTCATAAAATCAAAGCAACTTAACATTTTGAAAAGAAAAATCGAATTTTATAAAGCTGAATCAAATCAAATAGAAACAATAAAAAAAACCAAAATGAAAAAACTGAAATTTCAACAAACTATGTAACATCTGTTAAAAAAAATTTAAAAAAAAAATTCTAAAAATTAAAAAAATATAATTTATTTTTATACATAAATATATATAATTTGGTTTAGTTTAATTATTTTGATTTTTTTATATCTTCAAAATCAAATTGATCTAAAGGGAAATAAACAAATTTTATTAAAAACTAAAACCAAACTAAACTAAAATATTAAAAAAATTCCAACCAAAATGCAGAAATGTCAATTTTTTTTAACTGTAATATGTTAATATTATTAATTAATACTTGAAATTCCATAATAATTTATCTTAAATATTGCTTTAATTAGACCGTCGGCATGGGACCTACAATTAAATATTAGTAATATATAACCACGACTAAAAACAAAAAGATAATAATAATAATAATAATATCTTCCATAGTTAGTAATGTTAATCACATTTAAATTAAGACCCATGTCCGAAATGGGGCATATAAATTAAATTGATTAATATATTTGTTTCCAAATATACATGACTTGATTGGTTAAAAATTGCCTCCATTTAGACCTAATTCGTCTATTTTGATGGTCAAATGACGCAAGCCTAATTAACTATATGTAATTATTTAGTAATTATTTTTTATTTTCTTGAAATTGCATAATATAATTGTTATACCGAAGGGGACCATTAAGTATGGGTTTTCAAGAGTGTTGTTCTTAATTCAAACCATCTAATTTGGTAACTTATTAATAATTCTTTTATGTGTATGTGTTGAATTTGCAATCGATGGTACGTACAACCATATTTTATATTTATTAAAAGAAGTGTATTGACATGTATTTTCAATTCTAATGTCACCTTCATTGTTTAAAATGCTATAATTTTATTCAACCTTCAATGACTTTAAAGTTTAGTTTCAATTAATAAAATTTATTTTTTTCCGAAGAAATCAAACCGAAAATTTCATGAGAGGAAATCGGATATAGATATGGAATATACAACATGTTTCTATATTTTTATATCATAAGTCTAATAATAAACTACCTATACTAAGAATGAAAAAACTACAATTTTGATTTGAAGTATCTGATTAAATAGATATAGTATAATATATATGTCATAGGCAATCGTTCGATCCAGTTGATGGTTATTCATGGCCACTATTCGACTCCATGATATTTCTACAAGTCCAACGAGACGATTTGCACTTTTCTTCTACATAATTGCCCAAATCACAAAGTAAACAAAATCACTATAATTGTGACAGAAACTGTTAAAACAATTAGATTTCAGAATAAAATCTCGATATATGAACAAGAATAATTCCAATTTTTGGATAATAATAACTCGGTTATATATCAAAAGACATAAATTTGAGGATTATTCGAAAAAAAAAATACAAAGGAGGACAAGAGATGACCACCCACGACATTTCACCGATAGCCACCCGTGTAAGAGGAAAAAAAAAAAAGGCTTTTAGGTATTTTCAGAGAGAAACGGGGGCTAAAGTTTGATTTCAGGAAAAAAATTAATAAAATTTAATTTATTTATGTTTTCTTGCTATTCTTTTTATTTAGTGAATTTGATTTAAAATTTTTATCACCTAAATCAAGCGAGCAAAATATTTGATACTAAAAAAAAGAGAGACGAAGCGGGCTCAAAGAAAATCGCAAAAGGTTCTTCGATTCAAATCCAAGAGATCATTAAAATTTGAATGATAGATTTTTTTTTATTATTTAAATAATCGCCTAGATAATTTGATTGAATGATGAAATGTGGAATTTAATTTATGTATATTTTAAATTTATAAAATATTTTTATTTTAGATTTGATTGAAATATAATATGAATTTTAGAATTTTAAATACACTAAAATTTTTATGTATATTTTAAATTTATAAAATATTTTTATTTTAGATTTGATTGAAATATAATATGAATTTTAGAATTTTAAATACACTAAAATTTTATAATATTTTTAATGCAACGCAAGTTATAAAACATGAATTCTATATTTGAAATATTATAATTGAAGTTAAGAATTAAAATAATAGGAAGAAAAGAAACTAAAATAAAAGTAAATATAAAGCATAAAGTTGCAAATGATGATTCTAAACAACAAAATTTTATATTAAAAAGGAAAATCTATAGAAATTTCTTGACTATAGATTGTCTTTTCAATTCCTCACTCTAGGTTTTGATATCATTAAATACAATCACTCAAAATTTTATTTAATATCATTATTTAATAGAAATTATTTAACATAATATATATGCAAAATCATAAAAAAAAATTAATTAAATTAAAAATGCAAAAAAACTAATGCCAAGTCATTACATCAGCTTCTATACCTCTATTTTTATATATTTATATAGAAAGATATAATTTTAGTCATTTAATTATATTTCAAAAATATCTTTTAAATCCATGAATTATGGTTTTTTTTTTTTTTTTCAAATCAAATGATGGAATGTGACTTTCATCAATTTCATAATCTATGGATTCCATACTCTCAACCCAAACAACTTCCGAAACTTGCATTCCACCTAAGTTCGCTGCAATAGGTTTTTGAATTGATAAAATTATTAGCATGAAATGTTTTATATCTTACATAATATACTTATAATTATATTGTGGTCGATGCAATAATTAATAGGCAATAGGCTAATTATGTTATTTTCTTTTCTTGAAATATATTTTGCTTAGTAGTTATAATAGTTAGTTCCTTCAATTAGACTCTTTTGGTTTGAGAATAGCCAAATTTTAAAATTAAACAAATTATTAAAATCATAGATGAAAATATTAAATTCATATATATTCTATAAACTCCCGTAATTAAATGTTTAATAATTAATCTTTTTTACAAAAAATTTTTAAAGGGAAATTATGTATTTATGTTTTGAATTTCTATTTAATTTTCTATAAAACTATCATTATATGTGCTCTATATTTTTTAAGACAAATAACGAACTACTATGAAATTTCTATTTTTCGAAAGAGACTATGAAATTTCTATTGATAATTGAGTTAGCAGCTTATTTTGCTTAAATTTAATTTTTAAAATTAGGACCATAAGAAATAATTCACAAATATATATACACACATGGAATATTTTCACAAGGGTGCAATTTATTTATTTATTTATTTTGGAATTGGTAATTTTAGTTAATGAAGTGTAAGCAGCCATATTGATGTTGGGGCGGAAATGTAGGGTTTGCACTTTTTAAGGGCCCTTGGAAATAGGAGAAAAATAATTTTTGTTTCCTTTGTTTAGTTTTCTGTACCCACATTCTCATTTCTTTCATAATCTTTATATCTTTCTCTTTCAAATTTTCTTGATAAATGGTGACATAATTCCATTGAAAAATTTCCAGAAAAATGTCAACTTTAAAGGTACCTTCATCGCTTCCTTCTGCGAAAGATGATGCTACCCAAATTCACAAAGCTTTTAAAGGTTTTTTCTTTTATTATCTTTTCCCTTTTCTTCTTTTATTGATTTTTTAATTTTTCAATTTAAATTTTAATGGCTTCTTGATCAATCTCTCCCTCTCTCTTTCATTGATTGTTCTTTTATTTGCATTAATTGAACAGGATTAGGATGTGATGCTGGAATAATCATCAACATTCTTGCTCACAGAAATGCAACACAAAGAGATAACATTCAACAAGAATTTGAAACCATGTATTCTTATGAGCTTAAAAAAGGCTTATCTTCAGAGCTTCATGGCCATCTCAAGGTACAAAAACTAACAATATATAAGAAAAAGGTGATCCAGTGCATGAAACATTTCATGTTTGTTCTAAATAACTATATACATATATATGCTCTTCTTTTTGTCCTAATGAATTTAATTATTTTCAGAAAGCAATTTTGCTTTGGATGCAAAATCCACTGGAAAGGGATCTTAGTACATTGAGGCAATCTCTAACAGGACCTATTGTTGAACTTAAAGCTGCTACTGAAGTAATATGTTCTCGTTCTTCTTCTCAAATTCGACAAATTAAACAGGCTTATACTCCCACTTACGGTACTCAACTTGAGTATGATGTTGATGCTCACACTTCTGGCAATCATAAACAGGTAGCTTCTTTCTCTCTTTTCCTCATTTCATTTTGTTAGTTCGGCAAGATGTATGTGAATGTAACGCAACGTTATCTTTTAAAAATGCATTTGACTACATTACTGGCATTGCCATTGTTGCAGTTGATGCTGGCATATTTAAGCACAACGCGATATGAAGGCCCGGAAATTGATAGAGTGCTGGTAGAGAATGATGTTAAAACTATACATAAATATGGAGACAGGAAAGCTGGGATGGATGAGAAGATTTTGATACAGGTTTTTAGTGAAAGAAGCAGAGCACATTTGGTTGCACTTGATTCTACTTATCAGAAAGTGTATGGCAAAGAACTGAGAAGGGTAATAATATATTCTATTTTTGTTTTTTCTTGGATTGAGATGGGAGTTTTAAGTTTTTAACCTATTGGATTGCAGGCTATTAAAAGAGAAGCATCTGGCCATTTCAAGCATGGCCTGTTAACAATCTTGCAATGTGCTGAAAATCCTGCCAAGTACTTTGCAATGGTATTTTCCTGCACTTTTTCCAATTACATTTTATAATTTAAAATTAATGGGTTTTCCAAGTATTTTGCAATTTTGTTTTGGGTGGGGGAGAATTTGCACACGAATTTTCAAGCTCGGGCCTGGAGTGATATTGATTCTTCTGATATGCAGATGTTGCGCAAGGCAATGAAGGGTTTGGGAACGAAAGACACCACATTGATAAGGATAATAATTACAAGGACTGAAGTTGATATGCAAAAAATAAAAGATGAGTATCAAAAGCTTTACAAGAAATCACTAATTGATGCTGTTCATTCTGAGACATTAGGTAATTATAGGACCTTTCTTCTTACACTTTTAGGGAAGTGATCATATATAATTTTGTGGCTTACCACCTCAGCAGAAATTAACAAATTTTTTCTATGCTTGAAATTGCTGCAAAACGCCAGAAGATTGGTTCTCCTGAGATTTTTTTTATTTTTTTTATTTTTCAGATGTAATTTTTCCCTTGATTTTCAAGGAGGAGACGTGGAATATTATTTTGGTTATCGTCTCTGTTTAATCACATTTCTTTGACGATGATTAATAAGCATGTGTATGCATGACAACTGGAAATTCTGCAAATTTTTTCTTTTTTTGTACATGGGGAATTTCTAAGGTTGATTTTGTACAATGGATTTTCATAAAATTTTAATTATTTTATTTAGAAATTCTCATTTAAAATATTTGAAAAATTTTGATGCAGACCAAAAAGTAAAATAATAAATAAACAAGAGAAAATTTGCTCGGCTCCAAAACTGAAGCCCTACCAAATCTAACATTTTCATGGATCAAATTTAGAGGCCCAGGCCTATTAGTTATCCACAATTGAAATAGGTAACCAGTAATTAGAAATAGAAATTCAGTTTGTTCGCGAACGACAGTCGACAGACTCATTACAAAATGAATTTACTTTTTCACTATTTAGCAGTCTCCAACATCAATGTATTACTCTTAAGAATAAAACACATAGAGCGTACGCAAGGCACGATAAAAAAAAAAAAAAAAAAAAAAAAACAACATCAATGTAGTTACCTCTTAAGAATAAAAACACATAGAGCGTAGCGCAAGGCACGATAAACAAAAAAAAAAAAAAAAAAAAAAAAAGATCTTCCCAAACCTAATGAAAGAAAAGCTTATTACACGTGTATTAATTAAGTATTTCATTAAAAAAAAAAAAAAAAAAAAAAAAATCTCAAACCTCAATGAAAGAAAAGCTTATACACCGTGTATAATTAAGTATTTCATTTATCAAGTTTTGTTGATGGGAAAGTTATATATTCCATGAATTAGTATATACTTACGTTAATTATATTTCCCTAATTGTAGATTAATGATATATGTAACAAATTTCCAGCAAATGAAGCTTCTTCTGCTTTGAATTAGTTCTGACACATTGCATGTCTTTGATAACTAAAGTACAAACATAACTTTTATTATTTATTAAAAGACAACGTCAATGAGACAAAATGTCCTCACGTTTGGGGAAAGTTGGAAGCTTCACGGTATTTACCTGCCTTAAACCAGATGGGACTGTGAAACTTCTCTCTGCTATAGTTATACGGAAAGGAATGTTCCAATTTTGTACTACAATTCGGTTAACTTTTCTAACAAAATCTTGATTCAGTGACACATTTGGATGGATTACATCCAACTATTTTATTTTGTTTTTAGATGGTAAAATCGATTGAAGTTAGAAATCATAAACTATAAATTAGAAATAAGAAGAAGAATGCTATTTCATAAATTTGTAAAATAAAAAAAATATGTAAATGATAAATAATTATTCATTCTGATATTTTTTCCCCCGTTCAAAGGGAGAATATATAGATTCGTGAATAGCATCTTCCCACTGTCTTTAAAAGCATTTTTGTAAGTATTGCAGCAAGATATCAAATCAATGGGGTTGTCAATGCCATGATGTGATTGAATCAGACAATACTTGGAAAATAACTCGTCGGCAACCATGTAATGGTTTGCTCAATAATGCATTCAATTTCAGTTTGGTGTTTCTTATCATTATTGTTGCAACTTTCACTTTTTTTGATAATTCTTTATTGGAGTATCCATCATGCATCTACCTGTTTTGTGTCCAATTGGTGGGTGCCTCTTGGATATTCACGAATACAACTTATAACTCAATCTCCTCTCAGTTTGGATAGGCAAGGGAATTTTCAGATTTTGGTGAAAATTTAGTCCATTGAGAATGGATAGAAGAAGTTGCTCAATTTAATAATTATGTTTTTCATATGATGCTACAGTTTTTGGTCGCATTGTTGTTTCTGTGGTGCTAGACCATGTTCTTGAGATAAGAAAGCGAACAAACAACTTTTAAAAGGATTGGTGTTGCTATTTTCTTCCTTTTTTTTCTTTTAAAAAAAAAAAAAATCCCTTTTGTAATCTTTCATGAGTCGATAGTCTAACATCATTAAACTATTAATTTTACCAGTAGATTATTAATTCAGCGATCGAATACTAATTATTAATTAATTAAATAAGAATATAAGATCGTAATGTATCCTGAAAACTATTAAAATATATAATCGATTTGAATATATATATATATACAAGAAATTGATTAAATTAGAATTTATTTCTGAGCTAAATTTATAAAATTTGATTTTAAATTGGTTTGAATTGATTTTGAGGGGTGTTGGTGATCTTGTCTTGAAGCTGGGTAAGGGGTGGGTTTGTCTTGTAGTTGACAGTTTTGGAAAAGCTAAGTTAGAGGTGTGTGCAACAGTTTTAATTTGCAAAACAACATCATAGTATCATGGCCATTATATATGTGTGTATATATAAATAATTTTCCTTGATTACATAAAAATTATTAAATACCAGAATGCGATAGCACTGCTTTTATTTATAGGTAAAAGAATAAACTATTTGAAGATGATAGATAGAAACATAAGTATAACTAACTCATGTCTTAGTTGGTAAGTTAAAGTTTTCCATTTTGCTTAATTTCAGCACTTGAGGCTACTTTTATATTGTATAGTTCTTTGCGTGCTAAAATTCTTCACCTGTTATATACTCGTGCAAGAAAATCTATACTTGTTTTAACATCTTGTTCTGCAATAATATCTATAGACAAAATTCAGACAAAGTTCAGACAAAGGAACGACGGTTTTTTCTATCTTCTAATCAAGCGAGCTCAATTCAGAGAATTATATTTTATGTACAAAAAATAATCAGAGTAATATGTTATATACTAGATGAGCTGAAAGAATGAAATTAGTTAAAGGGTGGTCTTAAAACTCATTCAATGTTAAAAGCAATAAATTTATATCCAAGATAATTTGGTCTAATGGTTCACAATTAGTCGATAAATTTGAATCGGGAATCAACATTTTTAATAAGTAGGATAAAGCCTCCTTGCGCATTGGCTAGAAGTAGAAGGTAGATATGCTTGGTGTGGGGTTTTGGGATTGCCAAATTTGAGTGCACAGAATAGAAAAAGGAAAGAAAATACGAAGTGGTAGCTGAATAATCATGCAACAAATAGTGCCAACGATCAACTGGAGCTCGTCTTCTTGTTCCCTTCCATACTTTATTTATTGCACCCTAACGTCACCAACCAATACAAGTAAAGAATATTTATTACATTGGCATAAGCATGTTAATTTAATTAATACAAATTTGATTTAGGCATATTACATTTCCAACTGTTTTGTTTTTTCAAAACCATTTTTTGGCAAACAAAAACTTTAAATTAAAAAAAAAATTAGTATTTTCTTTTTTCGCTAGCTTTTTACCTTGCTGAAATCTCAGTTTAAACTTTTTTATGGAGGTCTCCAATGTCAAAATAATCATTTTTTTTTCTTTAATTGATTATTACGTGCAAATTTTACATGTATTAATCAAGGTATGAGTGGCAACTAGCTACTTCTTTTTGCTTCACAAAATAACTTTTTTTTTTTTTTTTATAAAAGCATAAAGAAGCTTTAGCCCCAACACATCACGAGACAATGTCTTTTTTTTTTGTCTTTTTAATCAATTATTATTATTAGTGATCTCTTAGTTCATTAAAGATTACCCTTCGCACCAAAATTACGATAGTTCACATTTGGATTTAAAATATTTCTAATCTTTTTTTAATCAAAATATTTATTATCTAATCCTATAAGAATTAAATATTAAATTTAATTAATTTCATCTTTTTTTCAAAGAATTCATACAATTAAAGGTATAATAATATGTAGATTATATTCTATTTACCAATAAGACTTGTCTCTATTTAGTATTTAGGTTCAGTCATACTACAAATTAATTAGTACATAGATTTTTTTTTTTAAAAAAAAAAATTTATTTTATTATTTTTTCAGTAATACATGTCCTCGTTATAACTAAAAAATTAATTTTAATTAGTCACCCAATCCATACACAAAGTGTAAATACACTCGTGCAATCGGGTAGAGAAAATGGAGAAGATTGGTTAGGAATTAGGATGTGCGCATATGGGCCCTCACATCAATGACAACATGTGATTTTTCCACGTCATCCAGGTGGAGGTCGTTGTTTTGGTTATCTACGTGGAGCTTGCGTTGTCCACTTCTACTTAGTAATTCACGATGCCAATAATTTTGGTATTGCAAGTTAACTGCATTATTTATATAGAGTAAGAATCCTGAGATTTAAAAACAAATTTGAAAAATCATTCATAAAGAGTAACAATAAACCTGGAATCAGATTAAACTCAAATACTTTAAAAAAAAAAAAAAAGGATACCTGTAGAAAATTTAAAAAAAAAAAGAATTTAAATTTTTGGATGTTATTATTATTATTATTGCCTCGTAAAAGCAAGGGTTAGTTTTATATTTTAGGTTTATTTTACGTACTCTAATAGCTTTACTCATTTTTCAATAAAATTTCTATATATTCTTTTAATTTGTTGGGTTTGTCATTTTCACCTTCCCCATTTAATTTCATCCCTAGCTGGTTGCTTTCGTACTCTGCCTCTACACAAGAACCCTTATAAAAGCTTTCTTGCCTTGAAGCTCTGTACAAACGTAAACCACCAACCAAATCAAGCTACCTCGTCTCTCCATTCTCTTTTCCTCTCATCTTCTCCCCATATTGAAAGCCAGCCATGTCTAGATTTATACCTTTAAGCTTTATACTCTCTGCTCTTTTAGGATTCAATATTTTGCTCTCTGCAGCAGAGCTTCAACGATTTCTACATTCAGCCAAAGCCGATGGATCTCTTAGCCTTCTGGTTATTGGAGACTGGGGAAGAAGAGGAGCTTTTAACCAATCTGAAGTTGCTCGTCAGGTCACTCAAACTTATATATATATATATATATATACAGGTCACTTCAAACTTTATATATATATATAATATATATTATATATAGGCTCTGGTTCTTTATATATTATATATATATATATATATATATATATATAGCTCTGTTCTTTATATATATACACAAAAGGAGTTGCAATTTCCATTCCTAAGTCTTAGCTAATTTATTTTACATGTTCTTAAATATGTTGCATTTTGAAGAAATTTTTAAAAATGTTTTTATATATATATAATATGATCTGCTTTATATTGAATTAAAAATGTAAATTTTAAACAACACAAAAAGCTTATTTATATAAATTGAAATTTATATCTTTCATTGCCGTGTATATCAGAATGTAGATGAAATTCTTAAAGGAAAAAGAACAACGTAGATGAAAAAATAAATAAATAATAATATTGTAATACTTGATATCATCATATTTTTATGAAATTTATTTCAAATTTTGCAGATTCTATATTTTTATTGGCAAAAAATTAATTACGATTTGTTTAGGTTTTCTATTTTTAATAATTTTTTTATGGAATTAATTTGTTATCTAACAAAAAACAAAATCACGAGCAATAGAGGATTGTAAATCCAATCCACATGGTATCAAAGGCGAAACTTCATGGTTGGTGCTAAAACCTGCAAGGGCCAAAGAATAATGTACAATAGGACAAATTAACCTTCTAATGCCAATCATCCAATTAAAGGATGCCACATCAACATTTTAATCTTAGAAACTTTATATTATATTTTCATTGAATAATTGAATGTTGATGGAGCAGTATGATTCCATTTTAGATTCCATATACCATTCCTTAGATGCTTTCATTGGAGGAATATGAGAAAGAAATATACCTTTCATAATTTTTTTTGTTTTTTTTTTTTTTTTGCCATAATTGACAACATGACACGACAACATAGTTATGTCCAGTTCTCTACCTGCCCCTTTTTTAAAAAAGTGGATAAATGTGGATTTTGACCTTAGGTAACCAATCACCTTCTGACATTTATTATAACACTCTTAAAATATTCCTTTTCTAGATAAATAATTTTCTTGCACGATTCACACTTTCTATTAATTAATACAATCGATAATGCATTTTTTTTGGGACTCTAGTCTTTATGTTTATCAAGAAAATTGTCTTGATGTTAATTAAAATTTGAATTTTCAATAACCATGTACAAAGGAGTGAATCCGTTTTAAATTTGAGTTCTTTTTGTTAGAGAAATTTTTATCAATTTAGGAGAGAGATATTTATTTTATATAGTTATTAATCTGATTTATTTAATTTTTAATAAATTAAAAAATTAAATTTTAAATAATAAGATTAATAGTTAAATAATAAATCATGCTGTCTTTCAATTTTGATGAAAGATTAAAATATTTTTAGTTTGTTTAAAAGTTTTATTTGATTATTTTAAAAATTAATTTGGTGATATTTAATGTTTCAGATGGGAATAATTGGAGAGAAATTGGACATTGATTTTATAATCTCAACAGGAGATAATTTTTATGACAATGGATTGACTGGTATGGATGATCCAGCGTTTCATGAGTCTTTCACCAAAATCTACACTGCTCCCAGCTTGCAAAAGCAATGGTATTCTGGTAAGCATACACACAACCACACACAATCTCCTCTCTTTAATAAATTAAATTAATAAAATAAAATGAAGGTCAATTATTCAACTATTGTAATTATTTATTTTCGTGCAGTTTTGGGTAACCATGACTACAGAGGTGATGTTGAGGCACAACTGAGTCCAGTCCTTAGAGAAAAGGATAGCAAATGGCTTTGCTTGAGATCCTTTATTATTGACACTGGTATACTATTTATTTTTCGATTTTTTTTAATCACATTTAATTTTGAAATTAAAAAAAAAAAAAATTCAAAGTATTAACAAACAATTTATTTTATTTATTTAATATATATGCAGAAGTAGCTGAATTTTTCATGGTAGACACTACTCCTTTTGTTGAGAAATACTTGCATGAAAAAGAACATAACTATGATTGGAGAGGCTTACTACCAACAAGAGAGGCTTACCTTTCAAATCTCCTAGAGGTAATTAACCCAATTAATATCAATAATTATTAATTATTTATAATAACTTGCACTAATTTTGATTTTTCACTAATGATTGAAACAGGATTTGGAGAAGGCCTTAAAGGAATCCACAGCAAAATGGAAGATCGTGGTAGGTCATCACCCAATCAAAAGTGCTGGACACCATGGGGACACCCAAGAGCTCAACACAAGACTCCTTCCAATCCTTCTGGTAATTAATTAAATACTCCTTTTTTTTTCTTATAGAAATTAAATGGAGCCTTATATATTATAATTTAATTACTGTTTAATCTTTTATTTATAGGAAAATGATGTCGACTTCTACGTAAACGGACATGATCATTGCTTGGAACACATAAGTAGCAGCGAAAGGTAAAAAAAAAAAAAAATCAATACTAATTATTTTACAAAAGAATTTTTTATTTAATTACTAATTAAAGGATTTAATTAATTAATTAATGTGCAGTTCACTGCAATTTTTAACAAGTGGAGGTGGATCAAAGGCATGGAGAGGAGATATAGATTGGCGGAATCCAAAGGAAATAAAGTTATACCATGATGGACAAGGTTTCATGTCGCTCCGAGTGAGTCAAGCTGAAGTGGATGTTGTGTTCTACGATGTTCATGGCTCTGTTTTGCATAAATGGAATATGGCTAAACACCTTTCCTTTGCCATTTAGACATTCAAGGCTCAACCTTAAACTATTTTATTGGATGTCGTTTTAGGTTTTAATCAGGAGGGCATTGTTGTAATATTCTGCAGTTTTTAATTTATGAAGAAGAGAAAAAGCAAAAAAAAATTCTATCTAATCTTGCAACTTCTTCTCTCAATACATATTTTATATTTGAGCTAGAAATAATATTCAGATAAAACTCTTGCAAGTCTCAAGAGTAAAAATATATTTAGAGATGCATTTCATTTCAGTTTTTTCCTTTTTTTATATATAATATATACAATTGCCTTTTCATTTATCTCAAATTATGGTTCTATTTCTTTTAGAGAGATTAATATTTATAACTTTCCATTTTAACCTTATTTAATATGCATTCTTATCGATAATTATATTAAATCTTAAACTAGACAACTAATTAAAACATAAATCTCGTAAATTCTTAATTTAGGAAAATATTCTAAATGTATATTAGGAAGAAACCTAGACAAAAATTATGGTTTGCTTTGATTAATTATATTTATATAATATAGAATTTTATATTTATTTGAGAATATATTGATGGGTTTTTTTATTTGAACGTATATTGTGAATAGGTCTTATCAAAATATTGGAAAATATTTATTTAAATTGAATAGTAATATAATATAATATAATTTCTTAATTTATCTAATAGAATTTATATTTAAAAAAAATTAATATAATTGATTAAAATTAAATTATTTTTATTTTTTCAAACAATATTAGTTCTTTTTATTGGTTGGATTCAGACGAATCTTCTAAGCCATGGGTTTCTTGGGCACCATTTTTATTCCATTCTTCTTCTTTTTCATCAGACCTTGCCTTCCTTGCTTGCTCCACTGATATTAACGTTACATTTTGTGTTACCTTTTCTTTTTTTTTTTTTTTTTTTTTTTTTCTTCTTTTTCATCAGACCTTCTTACCTTGCTTGCTCCCACTGATCAATTAACGTTACATTTTGTGTTACCTTTTCTTTTTTTTTTTTTTTTTTTTTTTTTTTTTTTTTTTTCTTTGAGAAAATAAATGCTTGCGTCCTTATTCCTTGTAGAAAGTTTCCTAATTAATAAAAATATAATCCTATTCGTTTATCAATATTATCTAATAATTTTTCTTTATATTTAATTTAGCTCTGAAACGAGTACTTTATATAATTTCAGGTCTTTTTTCTATTTAGCACTCTCCACCACCAATAATAATAATAATAATAATAATAATAATTCAATAATTAATAATAATTCCACAAATAGTTAGATGCATGTTAAGAGCATTTTAACTGTCTCTATCCATAAATTTGACCAGTCATTTTCTACCATGATGCTATTAAAAGGGATTTTACTTTCACCACACATAACCCCTTTTACCAAAAGTAACTTTTCCTCTTTCATGTATAAATAGTCTCTTTCGTTTAACACTTTCATGCAACAATCAAACTGACATTTCTCCCTCAAATAAAACAAAAACAAAAAAATAAAAAAAATAAAAAAACAAAAAAACCAAAAACATGGCTTTTCTTCAAGCAACCAAAACCTGCATATTTGTTTTTGCTTCTATCGTTTGTTTCTGCCTTGTTTCTCCTTCATTAGCAGAGCTTCCACATTTCGAGCAACCTCTAAAACCCGACGGCTCTCTTAGTTTCTTGGTTATCGGAGACTGGGGAAGAAAAGGAGACTATAACCAATCTGAAGTTGCTGTACAGGTTCTTATATTTCTCTCTTCTTTTTCCCCATTTTTATTCCGAACTTTCTATTTTGTGCTCGATAAATTGATCTGTTCGATCTTTTTCAGATGGGAATAATCGGAGAAGAACTGAACATAGACTTTGTCGTCTCTACTGGAGATAATTTTTATGAATATGGATTAACAGGAGTTAATGATCCATCCTTTTACGAGTCATTTACTAATATCTACACTGCTCCAAGCTTGCAAAAGCAATGGTATAGCGGTACGTTCTGCTCCAAATTTAATATATAGCTTCCAAGATTTAATATATATATATATATATATTAATATATATAGTAATTTTCTTCTAAAGAAATTTTTAAAGAAAATAAACTATGCAATTTAAATTAGGTTTGGTGATAATTTTTTTTTAATTGTGGCAAGTTCTTGAAATCAATGATTAAACAGGGGCGATGCTGAAAGCAGTTATGAGTCCAAGTTCGTTACGCCAAGGATACAGATGGGTTTGTTCTGAGGTCTTTTATTGTCAATGCCAGGTTATAAAGAACAAAATGTTAATTGGCATAAGCATGAGACTTCCTTTTTTTTTTTTTTTTTTTTTTTTTGCTCAAGGTTTTTTTTTTTTTTTTTTTTTTTTTTGCTCAAGGCGTTTTGTCTATTTCTGTAGAAATTGTTGAATTTTTCTTTGTGGACACAACTCCATTTATCAATGACTACTTTGATAAACCTGACCACACCTATGACTGGAGAGGTGTTCTTCCTAGAGAGGATTATCTTGCCAATTTGTTGGAGGTAAATTACCATTCTTTTCTCAATTGTCTAAAAATTCACATATTTTAGCCATTTAAACAAGAAACTAATTCAGAAAGAAATTGATGATTTTGATTTCAACTTTGCAATAGGATTTGGATGCAGCACTGCAAATTTCCAATGCAAAATGGAAAATTGTTGTTGGTCATCATGCCATCTTAAGTGCAGGACATCACGGGCTCACAAAAGACCTCATCGAACGACTTGTTCCAATCCTAGAGGTAACCTGAAACAATGCATTATTATTATTATTATTATTAATCTGTAAAAAATGTGAATCAGTAAAATGTGAATCAGTTGTGATCTGATTACCCTGTATAATGTTGTCCTTGTCGTATTAAAACAATGTGATTTAAAGTTTCACAAATTTCATGTTTTCAGGAACATAATGTTGACATTTACATGAACGGTCATGATCATTGCTTGCAACATATCGCTAGAAATGACAGGTACAATAAATCAAAATTTGGAGAAGAAATAATATTATTAAAAATTCTTATCCATGTGAAATTAACACTGAATTGATTATTGTTCATGCGAGCAGCAAAATTCAATTCCTAACAAGTGGAGGTGGTTCAAAGGCCTGGAGAGGCGATATAAGGGAGTGGAATCCTGAGGAATTGAAATTATATCACGATGGCCAAGGTTTTATGTCTGTGCAAATGACTGGCACTAAAGCTAATTTCGTATTCTACGATGTTGTCGGCACTGTTTTGCATCAATTCAGCCTCTCCAAAGAGGATCACTCTGCTATGTAGAGAGATGAGAATTTACTACAGCTAGGAGGAGGATGTTCAGCATCTCCATTTACGAGTAAATATGCAGGGTAGATTTCAAAAATAAAAAATGAGAATCTGTAATTAGTTCACAAAAAATAGGCGAATCTACATATTACAGGATTCTATGCTTGTATTTTTTAAAAAAATGATTTTAATATTTCAAATAAGTTGTATTTAATTAAAGATGTCCAATGAATTTATCTTCTTTTTATGCTGATTCATTACATCACTTTCCAGAAGATGAAACCCTTCTTTGATTCCCATGTCAACCTGAAGCAAAAGGCGAATCTGATCATGAAATTGCTTAGACCATAATTTAATTCAAACAAACAAATGTAAAATTCAAGGTGGAAAAAATTAGCAGACAAAGAAATCAAGCAATGCTGCAGTTTAAGTGGCTAATGTTATCAACTCACTAACAATTCCTCATCAAGTGTCTTCAAATTGAACACTGTATATAATTTGCTGTGTTCTCCAGTATGGTAAGCTCATTAGTAAGTCTTTGTGCAATCTACATGTATAGTCTTCCCATGAAGCAATTGCAGCAGAAAACTTTTCCCAGTCAAATGAATGTTTCAAGTTCTTAAAGAAACTGACGCAGCCGAAG